CTTATGGAAATCTGTTTTCCGGGGCGTTACAGATTCACCTATAACTTTGAACTTTAAAGAAAAAGTCAAAAAAAGCGAAGAATAAAAGAAAAATTTAAAGTAAATAAGAAAAAGAATTTTGGTTTATTTTTTTAAAATGAAAAATTTAATTTAAAATAATTTTCAAATAAAACGTAAATATTTGGTTTTCATATTATAAACTTGTTATTTACGTCATACCAAGTTCATTTTAAAGAAAAAATATTAAATTTTTATTTATAATATGCTAATGAATACCACCTTGTTTGTTACCCAAATAATGCACAAATGTACATACATATAAAAAATTAAGAGAATGTGAAATTAAATTAAAGCTCCAAATTGGGAATCTTAAATTGTTTTTCAAGGAAATTTTGAAATTTAATCTTTCTATTTAAAAAAAAAAATTATAAAATAATGTTAATGATTAATTTCAATATAAAGTAACTATAAAAAAGCAACTTCTAATGGTTTTACTTAAATAATCTAACTCAAATTAAATCGATATTAAATCTTAGCGATTATTCCGCGGAACAAGATGACTCGTTATACAACGACTCCCAGTGACAGTTATTTGAATTATTATTAGACAGAACGATAGCTTTGTTTATTTTGCGGTCGTTCTTCTTACTATGATTTGTTGTCATTTTTACTATTAATGATTTTTGCAACAATTTTTGTCAAAATTCAAAAATTATGATTTATATTTTCAAAAATGTTGTGATACTCATTTAAGTTGTGATACGTCATTTTAATTTATTATACGTCACTTCAATTTTTACAGTTAACTCTCTGAGAATTACTTGGGATTGTATAATCTACTATAGTTAAAGAGAATAAATGTAATGCTACAAAATACTTTAATTCTCAATTAAATTGACAGTGTCGTTGAATATTGTATTTCAACGATGTTGCACGAACTTTCATATATTCAGTTAATTATCATTCAAAATTAAAAAAAAAATTATTGAAAAATTTCAACGAAATTTCTTGTTTTTGCAATTTCTTTTTAATTTCTACGTTGTATTTTGCAAAAATAAAATTTTTATTTTTTTGTTTATCAAATTTTTCGCATGGAAATCCTTTATTTTTTTTTTTTGAAAATTCATTTTTTATTTTTTAAATTAAGTAATTTTTTGCGAATAACAAAATTATATTCCAATTTGGCGCCATACCAAAATACAATTTTTATTTTACTCGTGGTCTTTTTATTTTTTTTTCGTTTTTTGATCTTATATGTGTAATATCTGTTGATTTTTGAAATGAAAGCAAGTTAAACTATAAGATTTCCTCTATATACCTTTGACCTTACACCCACAAGAATTCCAATTTAATTTCTGTATTTTCTGTATAGTTGTTTTGTTATGTGCTTATTGGCGATATTATAATAAATGTAATTTTTTTTTGTTTGCTTATTTTTAAATTCAAGATTTTTGCAATCACAAACTTGAAAAGTTAGTTATTTTTTTAAGCTTAATATTTTTCAAGTGATCTATACTTCTAGATTTTAAAATTTTAGAGCAGATAATATTTTTTAAAGCCATCATAGTTTCCTATAATTTTGTCATGAATAATATTCTTTGTCGAAAATAATATTAAAATCGCATATAAAAACATTCATGGGAAAAAAATCTTAAATGAATATTAAATATTTTTAGAATTAATCAGAGGCGGTAGAATACTTAAAAAAATATTTTATGTATTAAAAGATTTTCTATTAATACATTTAGAAATAAAATGCAAAAACACGTGATAAATTTTCTAAAATATTTCTGAGATTTTGTTTGTTGAGTTTATGAAAAATTTCTTTTTAGTAAATATACAAATAGGAAATTTGCAAAAAATGAAAATTTTCAATTGGAATAATAAAATGAAATAAATTCAAATATTGTGTGTCAAGCGCGACTACCATTTTGCTGATACAAATACATGTGTAACCATTTAATTACAAAACAGTTGAACCTCCACAACTCGAAAATCTACTTATCTCAAAGCCATATCAGTTCCCTTGAACATTGGCATTACGTTTTTTTTCTCTTCAGCGCAAAATCTCCATTACTCGAACTGTTTTAGCGTTCCCGTGCGACCTCGAGTTGTAGAGGTTTCACTGTATTATCAAAATTATACTTTTCTAAACGGATCCATTCTTTTGTATAATTTTTTAACTTCAAATATCCGATAAAGAGAAAGTGCTAAACGTGCCTTAAGTATTGTAGGAGTGTAAAATCATATACTAGCAGTGACAGTTAAAATTATTTTGTTAAATAATTATGACATCATAATTAATTTTTGATTATGTCTTTTATGAGTTTCGTTTTATGAGTTAAGTGCTTCATTAAGTATTGATATTTAGCCTTATTTTAAGTTTAAATAAACGTAAGAAACTAAGACAATTTTTTTAAAACTGAATAAAAACCATATATTTTATGTGGTTGGAACTTATTCATCTTTTTTTTAAATAGGATTTATATACTCATACATAAAGATTTCTCTAAATTTCTTAGCGATCAATTAATACTAGCTAAAAAAATTATTAATAGCTAAAATTTCTAATAATTTTCTTAAAATTTATTTCAAGTTCTACCATAATTTTTCTATATTTTTATTTTATCTTTATTTATTTTTGGACATAATGTCAATCAACTCTTCATATTAGATTAAATTATTAGATAAAAGCAATTTAATCTAGTTTCTCCAACTTTTCTTTAGAATTTACTTTTTACAGATTTTTTATTTTATTATTTATTTTTTGATAGCAGAAAGGTATTTGTGTTTTACCTCGTATGTTTTGATACGAGTACAGTTGTTTATAGTTATCGCCTTTGTGGCTATTAAATTGGAAAAAGATTAAATTAATAAGTAAATTAAAAAAAAACATCTTATCACAAAGGTTTAGTTTGAATTTCAAAAAATAATTTTAAAATGCACTTCTGTTAAGATTTTTTAATTCTCTTATCACCACATTCATACGATAAAAGAATTATAGGTGTACTGGTCGAAACAACATTTCAATCAAAAATCTTATCAGTAAAATTTTCGTTATTTTGTATTTGTTAACAATGACTTAAAATATTTTTATTGACAGAAATTGTTTTTTAAAAATTAAACATTTTATAACTATTAACCGTAATTTAAATTTTATTTTAAATTTTTAACCATATGTTATTCCAGAAATAAGGGACACTATAGAGTTTCTTTCACACGTCTGCAATATTATGTGATTCATTCAATAAAATTCTTGTGATTATAGCATTTTAGTTATTTCCGGGCAGATGCTTTTTTTTAACTGAAAAAGAGGCAAACTGATTCGACATGTGATTTTTTAAAGGCTTCATTACTTGCAAATTTCGCGCTAAAACAGAGAAGAATTTTGTTGTCTTTAAATGTGTCCCTATATATAAATAAAATTGTTAAATAATAAGGTTTCAATATTTATTCTGCAAAAAAAAATTAGATAAGATTAAGAATTTATTGTAAACTTAATAAAATAAAAAAAAAAAATAATTTTTGTTTACAAATTATTTTAATTATTTTATCGCTAAATTTTTATTAATGTTTTTTTTACAAAACAAGTTGTTGTACTCAAATATATAAATGTGAAATAAAATTTTATAGGTCGTATACATATACATATGTAGGTTTTAATCAAATAATCACATACATATGTATATTATAACTGTAAATTAGAGTGTGCATTATGAATCATAAAATTTATTAAAATTCGTTTAATAATCAAATGAAATTCTTAATCGTAAAAATTTATACTTAAATTTTTATTCTGGTTAACAAAATTTAAGAAAATTAAGAATCTCTTACTATTTATAGTTTAAAAAGGTTCTGAACTTGGTTGGCACAATTATTAATAAAAATAACAATGACTTATTGTTTCTAGGATTTTTGTCACTATTATTGTCTTTTTCAAATTTAAATTACAATTTACGCAATGACAATCTAAGGTAATGACAATCTATAAGAAGGACAGAGTGTAACATTTTGGTTCCCGTGTACTTTAATCAAAATTTAATTCTTTATTTGCCCATATATAAACTGTAATTGAAATGTTTATATAAATATTTAATTTTTAAGAAAATTTTTAAAAGGCAAAAATGAATTTATGTCAAAATAGAATGAAAATAGGAGTAAATTAAGTATTTTGAAAATATAGAACAATTCTTTAGGTCATTACAGTTTTATTGAACACAATAACTCATTTTTGCAAAAATATTGTATAGACCACTAATGCGCCTCATATACATATTATGTGAGTATATGCTGTTATCTTGCTCTTATTAAAAAATTCACTCATTTTACTTTTCCCCCTTTCATTTAATTTTATAAGAATTTTCAAGAATTATTCACTTACAAAAAAAAAATAAGAGTCATAAAGTAAATATGTAATTACAAATATTTTATAAATTTGATTTATTGCTATAGTCTGTATTTTCTAAATACATAGTAACCCTAATGTACTTATAGGTATTTAAAAATATATTGTCGATGTGTATGTAAATTGTACTGATTTTGAGCTTTCTTATCTACTATGTTCGCTTAATTCGTTCAACATTTTAAGCGTTACAACAGTGTTCTGAAAGTAGTAATAAAATTGTATTGAATTTATTAAGGCGGCATTTTTAAGGGCCTATTTTTATCGGCGCAATCTACAATATTGTCTTGTCGAATTAAAGAATTTTTTTTTATAATTCAAAGCTATTTTTAAGCGCAGGAGTGAAAAAAATAAATTTTTATTGTTACTAATTTTGCAATTAAAGTAAATATTTTAAAAAACTGTACTATACACTCGTATAATAAAATAAAATATTTTAATATACCCCATAATAATATCTTTTTGCAAAGCTATAATATACTACATGTACAAAAGAAACACATATATGTATGTATGTGTGTGTATAAGGAAATTCTTTAATAAAAAATTTTCGCAGTTTTATTTACTTATTTTAAATTTTTGATTTTTTTTCAATTAGAATTTAAAATTATTTTGCAAGTTTATTATGTGTTGATTACCGCATAATAATATATGATATAAACATAACAATTACCAATACATTGAAAAATATAATAACATAAATTATATTTAAAAATTATTAGTTATATGAATGAAAGAGATTCAACAATAAAGAATGAAAAAAAATAAAAAAAAAATTTAAATTAACAAAACTAAAAATTTTAACAGTGTTTAAATCATCGCAAAAATTAAAAATAATTGTATAACAAAATAAGAAACAATAAAATCAATCTAAATGTAATAATAAAATTACATAATTTGTGTATAAAAAACAATATAAACCAAGAGAAAAAGTGTTAAAAAGAACACATTTTACATAAATGGTTCCATTTAAAATCTAATGTTGTTACTATTACTTTGTTTCCTGATGAAACTTGTGGACTTATCAATGTTAAATCGGTCGCGTAACAACGGCTCGGCCAACAATCCTAACCATCAACATAATCATCATTTTTATCAAAATCATAATCATCATACTGCACATAATCATAATAATCATCATTTAAATCATAATAATTATAATTCTAATAATAATAACAATCATCATAATCATTATAATAATAAAAATATGCATTATTATGATGGTAGTGGAAATGTTGGTTGGGAGCAACAACAACATCAACAACTACAACAACAACGTCTATTATTATCCGGTCGTCGTGATAATATTTATTCTGGTGGTTTTGCCTGCAGAAGGCCATTATCATCAACTGGATCTGATTCATCGCATTCATCGTATTCATCATCAGATTCAGCAAAAGAGAATCGAATCTCAAATAATATTAATGTAAATAATAATAAAAATAATAATAGTAATAATAGTAATAGCAATGATAATGAATTTAATAAAATTATAATATTATTATTACATCAACAGAAACAACAATTAATTGAAGAACAATTAAAAAAATTAACATCACAACAATATCAACAATTATTGTTACAACATAATCAACAACAGCAAAAATATGCTGAACAACAAAAACAACAAGAACAACAATCAAAACAACAAAATTTATTATCAAAACAGCAATTGTATAACATAAATATTAATGATAATAGTAACAGTAATAATAATTTTGATATAAATAAATTATGTTCTATTAAAAATAATATTAGTATTAATAATAATAAAAAAACATGGGCTGAAATTGGTTCTAAAAAATGCCTAGGATTAAATTCTGATATTAATATTCAAGGTAACTTTTATAAAAAATTTATTTTTTAGTTTTAATATTTATTTGTATATTAATTTTTGTTGCGATAATTAACTGATCCGAAACATGAATTTATATATTTAAATACTAAAATAATATTTATGTTATGTGTACATAACGTGTAAGTGTTATGCTATGCATTTATAATATCATTTTACAATATTTATTTATTGTTATTTGATACAACATTTATTTTTTAAAATTTAATATTACCCTATAAATTTAATCTCTTTTAAAATTAAACAAGGTTATCAATTATTATTTATATAAATTGTTGATTAAAATTAAAAATGATATTTTTAGAAAATTTTTTCACTTCATTAATCATCCATTTGATTTTGAAAAATGATCTAATTACATACTTTTTAAGGAGTGCTAATTAATGTTATCAGAAAAATTTTATTGGGTAATAAAAAGTTCAGTTTATATTTCTTATTTTATTTCAGTGGTAATAAAGATATTTTGAGTACGCCGTATATGTTGTAGTTGACTACGCAAGAGGGAACATAATTATTTTGTAACAAAATTTAAAATATTTGAAAATGTTGCTTTCGTTAAAAAATTCACCAAATTAGAGAAATTTTTTTAATAAAATAAATATTTTGACTTATAAACGGGAATATGAAATTTTAAGCTCTCGTAATAACATAATTAGGATCTACACACAAAATTAGTTACTAACAAATTATAATATTAAAATATCCTCTTAATTATTGTTTAAGTTTTTATTATTTATTAAAATTTAACAAATAAAATATTGATCCCCTCTTATATAATAAATTAAAAACTACTATTATAATCTTATTAGCCCTTTAAAAACTGCACGAATAGGAAAACATATTGGATTTTAGTACAAGCAAATCATTTCACTTGTTTGTATAAGTTCTATATAAGTAACATTGGTAAACGCAAATAAAAAGTTCAAGTTTAAAGCCTGGAAGGGCTTAAACCGAGACTTAAAACCCATAGAATTACTATAATTGTGTACTCGTAAATTACAAAAATTTCTTATACTTAATCTAAATTCAAAATTTTTGAAATGAATGAAAAAACAAATTATTTTTAATAGGGTAAACGCCCCTAATATTGACACTGGCGGTAATACTGAGATATATACGGTATCTTTATACAACATACACATATACATATATAAAATTTTTTTTTCTATATTCATTAAAATTATCGCAATACTATCTTTTATCTATGTCAGTATTAGGGACACTTATACCTAAATAGAAGGAACATTTTTTTTACACTTAATTTTATAGATGAATATAACAGTTTAAAAAATTTTATTTCAAAATATGTGCTATCGGCATACATAAATAGATTTAAATACTTTGTGATATAATCACAAGAAATTAGAATCTTTGAGTAGAAATTAGAATCTTATCCAACAATGCTTTCACATTGGTTCTAAAGATTATCTTTTGATTTTTGAAGAGTTGACATAAAAGAGAACTAACTTTTCTAGCTATACTTGCAATCTAAAAATTATAAAAAAAATATTGTATTTATATTAATTATTTTATCCTTTTTTAAAAATTTCAATCCTTGCGTAATTCTTTTTAGAAATTAGAAAGAAAAAATCCTTGGTTTAAATATAAAATGTCAATATAAAATAATAATTATAATGTTAACAAGGTTTCTCTATCATTTTCTACTCTTTCTATAAATATATTAGAGTTGATTTTTTAATAAGAAAGGGGCAAAAGAAAATCTTGAATTAATGCAGAATATGAAAACAACAGACATTGTTTAAAAATTTGTTTCAAAGTCAAAATATATTGAATGTTTTTTTTTTAATTTAAAATATAAAAGTTTTAAGGACGAACAACTTGAACAATAAAATTTTCATTCATATTTTAAAAAAAATCATTTACAAAATTGGAAAATATAAAAATTTTAATTATCTAATAAAAATAAAATGGAGGAAATTTATGCGCACAATTTTGTCTAAATTTGTGTAAAAATTAATTTTTCTCTTGGAATTTTGAAGAGAGTTGATTTCCTAAATTCTAAACTTCAATCAGAATAATTTTTAACTAAAGGGGTTAACCTTTCCAATATTAACAGAATTAAAATCAGAATATAAGGACAGATCTTTTATTTAAAAACTGAAAATATAATTCCTTTACTTATTGAATAATTTTCCAGTTTCAACTGGATTTACACAGAACTTGAAATTTTTCTTAAATAAATTGGTACAAAAACAAACCATTAGGAAAATTAATTGTTAAGAGAATTTTTTGAACATCTACGAAAAATACTTACATTTTATAAAACGGATCTTCCAGCCATCATTCAATTCTCATTCCTTAACTCATACATTGACTTAACTCATCATCAAAGAAATTGAAGTTTATACGAAAACAAAAATTCTAATTTGAAAATAAAAGGACATATTAGGGAGGTGAATGACATTAAAAAAATACAAGTGTACTACAAGGCTCAAACCTAATGAAATTAAATTTGATATTTTAAATGACAATTAAGTACGATACGAAAATCTAGTAAAATATGTTTTTTTTTTAAGTACACAACACAATAAGTAAAAATTTCCCATTTGAACTATAAATGGGATAAATTTTAAAAATTTTACCCCATAAATTGATTTTGGAATTGATGTAGATGTACCATCAAAAAGCACATGTTTTATCCATTTAATATTTTAGATTTATGTGAGATTATCGGCTTTCTATATGCGGAACAAAAATAATGTGATTATTAACACCGCTGTATGTGCAAAAGAATAAGACGCCTTTTTTTAAATTTGAAAATTGAACACATGTTCATATCATTTTTTTTGTTAATTATTTTGAATTTTTGAAAAATAAGTTCAATATTCCTTTTTCAATTATTTCTTTTTTTTTTTAATTTTTGAATTTTATTGAGTATGATCTAATGATTTTATTTCTAGAAATCACTTTCAATTTTATCATATGCCTATAACACAATAAGTATTATTCAGAGAGAAAGTGAAATTTTCTTGTATTTTTTCATTTTGTACATTTAATTAATTATACAATGGTTCTTGTTTTATTTTTTTTTTTTTTGTAAAGATTATAATTGTATATACAAACATAATTTTTATGAGCAAAAATATATATGTATATACATATATTTTATTCATTATGTAAAATCTACAATATATTTGAATTAAAGATGCTAAATAAATATTCAAATTTTATTTATTGGTACCGCAGCAAAAAAATTTATAATTATATACACTTACATTATAAGTACATATATACAAATTTATCACACAATGACTAATGATGGGTTTCAATTAAAAATTGGAATGGAAATGGGAAAATTTAAAATAGTTTTTTTGTTCATTTATTCTTTTTCTTTTCTTTTCCTCTTTTATTTTGCTTATTATCTCAAGTGCATATTAAAAATGCATCATTATCGCAAAACATTTAATTGAAATTGTTATAATAGTATCAGAAAAACAGAGAAGCAGCATTTGTATACAGCTATATAGTAATAATGGCACCATAACCATCAGTATTGAATTATGGTATTTTTAGTATTCAAAAGAGAGAATTTCAAATTTAAAATTAAACAATAATATTGTACAAACAATTTCTGTATTGCAATCAAATATTGAAAGTTGAAAAAATGTTATTGAACTTTTGGTATTTTCCATATTGAGTACAAAAATCTATACAACTTAATATTTGTATGAATGTGAATTGGAAGGTTTCTGTTATATTGATTGAGAGAAGTCTAATAAAATTAATATTGTAATTTGTTTTCGTATTTTAATTTTTTTGTTAATTCTTGTATTATTTGATTTCTGTTTTCTTTTTATATAGACAAGATCAAAGAAATCTCATAATTTTTAAAGTAGTTTTTAAAGGTTGATACATACCAAATGCCTATATAGTGTACTATATTTAAAATAATTTTATATTTTCAGAAAAACGATGATAATTTTAATTAAAAATTAAATTCTGTATTAGAAAATATTTTATTTTCATTTAAACAAAAATCGTTTAAAAATTTAATTTAGAACTTAATTTTGAAGACTAACTAAGTACTTGATTTGGAGATTTTCGGATTTATTTTGTTATTTATTATAATATTAAAATTATTGTATTTGCAAAAAAAAAACAAATATTTCATCTGTGATTTTCAACTAATTTACATTAATTACAACAATTTTAATGGTACAGTGGTTATTGTACTGATCCTTTAACTGAAGGGTTGCGGGTTCAAAGCCCAGCCAGGTCACTATACAATTACAATTAACTTTACAACTACAAGACAACTAGTTAGATTTAACTTCATTTCAATTCTCAGAATCATAAGCATCAGTAGGAGTCTATTTTCTATTTAAAATAATTTCCCGTGAAATCTGAAATTTTTGATTTATTACAAAATTTATTTCAATTTTACGAGTTCAAGTTAGTTTACTGTTTAAGTATTGCGATCTGAAATTAATTTGTAGGAGAATTATATAAAATTAAATATGTTAATTAATTTTAAGTAGGTACTGTTGTTTTTTTGTTACTAAAGTCTTCTACATTAATATCCAAAATTTCATGATTTTTTAAAAAAAATTTGTATATTAAATGAAGAAATCTTTTACTTAATAAACCTTATAAAAAATTGAACTTTCCAAATTTAGATAAACTTTTCAATATTTATAATTTAAAATTTATGGCTCGAAAGTTATGAAATTTTTTTTTTAAATTTTATCACATAATTTTTATTTATTTTTGTAGGTTTGCAATTACCAAATATGATTAAAAACCTCTCATTATATTATTATTAATGAAGTGTTTTGTATACACACTCACATACCCGCATCGCAATTATTTTCAGTTTCTTTATTTTTATGTGAGAAGTTTTTCCATATTTTGTTATTGTGAATAATAAAAAAAAAAAGAAGTTGTAGCTTTTTAATTATGTAGCTTGCTACCCTCATAGCTTTACGAGAATTTTTTTAAATAGTATAATTTTTTTCTGGAAATTGATGAGAACATAAGTTTAATTTATTGAGAGACACAAAATTATTTTATGTGTATTATGATTAATTAAATAAATAAGTAAAATATTATTGTAAGTATATAAAGTTAAAATGTGTAAAACAAGTGTAAACCTCATACTTACATTACTGTCCTGGTAATATGTGTATAACTTACATATGTATATTGAATATATTTATGTTGGAAGTTTCTTTCTCTTATATTTAACATAATTTTATGGAAAATGTTATAACATACTTTCAATTATAATAGATAAAAATATATTATTTAATAATATTAAAATTATTACATGTTTATTTTTATATAATTACATATTTTATGTTTGTAATGTTTTACTTACAAATTTTTTATTTTTTTTTCTTTTAGGAATAAAATCTCACCGTGGCATGACCGAACACCCAAACACCGAATCATCATCACCATTACATAAATCATCTTCATTATCATCATCACCTCGTCGCCCACCACCTCCTTCTTCTGTTTTCTCCTCTAATATTAATAATCAAATAAGTTGTAATAATAATCCAACAATAATAACTTCACCAAAACGTCTTCATCCAACAACATTATTATCACCAACAAAAATAAGACAGAATAATCGAAATTTTCAACAAAATTATATACAAAATTCAAATATTAGCAATCAAGAAATATTGTATAAAAGACCATTAACAAGTCCAAATGCAACAATATTTAATTTGAATAATTATTATAATAATGGAATGCCATACAATTATAATACATTTAATGCCTACAATAATATTCAATGTAGTGTTGGATCACTTAATGATATTAATGACAGCAATAGTAGCATTAATGGAAGTAATACAAGCCAAGATAATATATTGCAAAGATCAATTGAAAATGAATTAACTGAAGAACATTTAAAACAAAATGTTGCAATTGTATTAAATAATTTAGATCGTCGTTATCAAAATACATTACGTAGCATAATATTAAATGAACAAATTAATAATTTGGCATTAAGTTATAATAATAACGATATCTTTTCAACATCTGGTCAAAATAATTCAAACGATATTACAATGATGGCAGCAAATTTATTATCAAGTCCAGTTAGTGGACAAGATGATTATAATAGTAATCCAGCTAATATTGGTCAACAGCATTTAACAACATTTGCTACAGCATATGGTAGTCCAAATACACCAGGATTTACATTTACAAATGGTCATTTGAATTGTTCAATAGCTTCATCACATGATTTTACACATGATAATTCTGATTATCAATGGTTTTTAGATTATGGTTATAGAGATGGTGTTGCACATCAAAGTGTACTATCATCTTTATCAGCTTCTTATAATGGAATTGGTGAATTATCTTATTATGAAGATTTAGCTAAAGATATTGATGCTAATTTAGCTGAAGTTGATATGGAAAGTTTTCGTACTGAAGATATTCATTCACTATTAACACATATACCATCATTTTGTAGTAAGAAGCATACAACAAGTGAAATTGATAATTCAATATGTAAATCGGAGCTATTGTTTTCACCAGTTAAAGAATCCCATATTAGTACTGATTCATTGGATTTAGATGCATATCAAGATGATGCTGATATTATTTTAACTTGTAAAGCTAATAAAGACAATTATACAATTGCGTTTGAAGGGAGCACATTATATTCGGATGAAAGTTTTTATGGTAAGCAATTTTTCAATATCAAGAACTACAATTGCTAAATTTACAACTTCGTGTAACAAAATTTAATTTTTATTTTTTATATTCTTGTAGCTGAACCGAATGAATTAAATATTAGGAATAGACAAAATTTTATAAATTTGCATAGCAATTTAGATGACATTGTAAAAAGAAAATCTTTAGAAGTATCAATGTGTCGATCGGACAATGCTTTTACAACGTGGAGTAAATTAAAAAAGAATAGCGCATTGCAGTTGCAAAGGTAATTCAATTGTTTTTGTGCACTATTTAATCAAATATGTACATTTACTACCATGAAACAATAGACAAGTAGTATTCAATTCAAATACATAAAACTCGTAAAATATTAGGCGATTTTATTTTATTATATTAGCACTACAGTTATTTTGAAGTCATCGCTTAACAAATGGACAGTGTATTTGAACTGTAAAAATGCAAAGCACTGTCTGTTTTAAAATATCTCAAAAGTTTTTCGTGTGCGCATTGTTGTCTGCTACAAATTCAAATTCTCATTTACTTTCATACTTTTAAACAATAGTATTTTTAGCCCCCCTCTTATTAGAGTAAAGGAAATTTGTATTTATTAAATTTCCGTTCTGTTTATCGATTGTACCCATTCTAATGTGCACGTCATAGTTAAAGCTTATTTGAGGTCAAATCAATTTAAAGACTTAAGTATAATTCATCTGTAATGTACAATATAAAATTATATCTATTTGTGAATATATAAAGCTTTAAAAAAGTAACTAATACATTTCGCAGAAAATTATCAAAAACAAGAGGAATCTATTCATAAAAACATCAAAAATGTATCACTACAATTTTTTGTTATTTATTAATAATGTACATCTTAAAATGAATATTTTACAACAGGATTTTTTTAATAAAATCAACTTTTTTCTATAATTAAATTTTCTTCAATATTTAGATATCCTTCTGGGAACAATAATACATCAATTAATGTCATTACGAGACACGCTCCACACTGTTTTGTTCGAAAAAGTTCAAGCTTACCTAATTTACGTATAAGAAAAGAAATTCAAAGGCAATTAAATGTTTCTCAAGCAATCAGTACTTCAACTGTAAGTATTTTAATTATAAAACAGTGAAACAAGAATTATATCTGTATGTATGTATGTATAACACTTTCAGGTTGACTCCACAAAATTACGTAATCTTCTTCCTATGTGCCAGATTCCTGTTTCAGCAATATCAGTTGATGATTGTAGCACTGACCAAACAAATGAAACTGGAGATGGATCATCAAATGTTATGCACACAACTGATGAATCATCAATTGGTAACGGAACAGATTGCGGCTCGAATGGTGGCTCTGGAGTAATAAAAAACCAGCAACAAAATCAACCAGCATTTAATCTAGTCAAATTGTTTATAAAACAAAAAAGTAGTTCAAGTGATACTTGTATGGATGTTTCATCTGGCTGTTGGCCATCAAGTAATGCTAGCTCATCTTCTGAGCAACAACAAAATAATCAACGGTGTCGCAAGAAAATTATGCATGACTCTGATAAATCATGTTCTTCTGGCACAACAGCAAGAGATGCTATTAAAGAAGATGATAATCTTCTTGAAACCGAATTGAAAATCGTTGAACATACAGATGATGACGATGATAATGTAATGACATTAAATCAAAATAATCGTAATACAGCTTTAGAACAAGTCAATGAAGATTCAAGTTATCAACTAGATAGTTTAGACATATGTGAAGAAAGTAATTGTAGTAATAAGGATTCGCTAAACACAACACCAACTAAAAAGACTAAATCAACTGAATTATATCGTGATGCTTATGAAAGTTCACCAACACATAAATTACGTATGCAACAACAACAACATTTACAGCAACAAATTCTACGGAACCCACAATTATTAAATTTAGCTTTACAAAATAATAATAATAATAATTTGAATAAAATTAATAACAACAACAGTCTTTCATCGGACGCTAGTCGAACTTCAGATAATTTAACCCAAATTTATTGCAATAACAACGCTGATCGAATTAAAATACCAACAGAAGTGGTTACACGTTCAATACAAACATCATTTTTGCTCAAAGATCGTGTACGTTTTGTACCTCCATCATTTTTAGCTAAATTAAATAAACTAGGTGATGAAAAGCCAGCTCCTGTTTATGTCATTTATCCAAATTATGCTCTACCGGACTTAGGATTTGTTAAAAATAATTTAGCTGACATTGTTTTATCGCCTTTTAATTATAAAGCAGCGTTAGCGGCTGCAACTGGAAATCATCGTAATTTCAAAATAAGACCAAAATCATTGACTAGTTCTCAAGAAGAAGTGTTAAAGAATATAGATTATAAAAATATTACTGATTGGAAATCATTAGTCACATTACTACCAATAGAATATCGTAAACGATTAAAACACATTCCGGAGGCAGATATTGAACTAGATCCTGAATGTTCAATGAAACCTTTATTCTGTATGTCACCACCGATAAGAAGAAATGCTGTCAAAACAAATTTATGTGATTGTGCTATGTTTTTCCAACAACAACAACTACAACAAGCCTGTGATTCCAGTTCTGGCTCTAGTCATCAACCAAGTTCTGGTTACCGTGGATCATCAACACTCCTAACAGATTCAGATTTTGACCCGCCAACTTTAACATCGAACTCGCCAGGTAATAGCTTCAACTCTCATTTTATATATGTATATTCATAAAGCAAAAATGAAATTCGATTAACAAAAACCTTAAATTTTTAATTTTTAATTGTAGGCTCAGCCCCAGCACTTAATAACATAGATCCTCTAAAAAATATGTTCGTTTACCAATATGAAAATAATAGAATCGATTCAGAAATTTTACAAGAAAAGCTGCCACCAAGTGGACGTACACCCAAGGGAATTTTAAGACGTAATTTAAAATCAGGATCTCAAGCAACACGCTTAAAACGTAATAGCATGTTTGAAGAAGAAAATTCCAATGTTAGAAATTTAGAAAAACGCAGAAGCTTACAAGAACCACCTTATGATGAACATAATATAATAGAAGAATATTTAGCTGAAGCACCAGAAGATGAAAAAGAGTTACAATATTATGATGATATGCATCAAAATTTACTATCAGATCGTAATGATATTAATTGCATACTCGATAATTATTCAAAAAATCGGAATTCACTCGAACGCAAATCAAGACGAGACTATGATCTGGATGCAAGAATTCGAGCTGAAAATTTTCTTTCAAATGTACCAAAATCTGACTTAAAATATTATGCTGAAATTGCAAGTATATTAGAATCAGCTGAGAACAATTCAACCAATATACAATATGATGCCGTGAAATTGAAAAATGAGGTCAGTCGAGCTCTATGTCAACAGAAACGTGTTTCATTTATTCAAAATGGCAATATTGAAAGTGGTGGTCCTACACACACAAATTATTTGCATACTAATATAAGTGGGAAGAAATTCACAACGCCCCCAAATTCACCAAATATATCAATGGCTGGATTACGTGTCAATAATAGTAATAATAGACTTGAAAAAGAAAATATTAAAGAAATGACACAAGCGGAAAAAGAACGGCAGAATAAAATTTCAAGTAATCGATTTAAACGATTACAAATCCAATGGGAATTATTAAGTAAAGACTCAAGTATGATGCTTAAAGATTTAGCTAGTGAAAAAGAAACAAAGAGCGGTGGATCAACACCTACGTCGGCTAGTGGCGGACTACGATCCAGAATACCAAGACCAGTTAGTTATCCAGCCAGCAAGTAAGCAATATAACTGTAAATGATAAAGCAAATATGTCGAGTTCGAAAAAAACTTAAATTTTTACTATTCGATTAATTTTAATTTTATTCAAAATTTATTCTTTTTTTTTTATTTTTTTGGTTTCAAGAGTTAATATGTTTTAATTATTTTTATGCGTGTATGCATGCATTAATGTTTTCAATTTTCGTATAAAATTTTAATTATTATTTTTTTTAATTTTTTTTTTTTTATTGTTTTGTTTTATTTTTTGGTATTTCCTCAAAAAATAACACATAATAATTGAAAATAGGAGAAAAATTATTCAGAATAAATCTAATCCTGTAAACAGGCCGACACAAGAAGTAACTAAAGCTTTTAGATCACCAAGTCGAATTGTTCCTCCAAAAAAATATACGGCGCCGCCGAATACGTCGCCAATTAATGCTCCGACACATACAACCGCTCTAACAACGGTAAATAATGTTACAGGTCAAAATGCAACCTGTAACAGAGCAAGAACACCGAATAATAGAATATCAAATAATGGAAATATTTCAACACCTAAACAACGTGTACAATCACCAAGGTAAAAGTTTTAAAAATTCCTAGTATATTACTATCAATATCGAATTAATAACGCTTAAGCCTAATTTTTTTTTATAAAATTTTGGCATAGAAATTGATTTAACTATTTTGAAAACATCAAATATTGCTTGAAAATTACTCAAGATCTAAACAAGTAAAAAAATGAGTTTTGGGATTGGGTGATTATTCTTAAAACTTATTTTATAAGTGAATGTAATTAGAAATATATTTATAACGAATATTTATAATATAGTATTGTTCTTTATACGTATGAATTAATATATGTATAAGGAACAATACTATATGAAAACAAGAAAATGAAAATGGAAAATCATTGAAACTAATGATTTTCCATGTCAATTAATACATTTATAAATTTATTTAATTATTTTTCACTATTCATATTTAAAGGTACAAATAATTTTAATAAACATCTTCATTATGTAGTATATTTATTTAAATATTTTATAAAATATAATAAAAATTTAAAAATAAATTTTTAATTTCAGAGCAACACCTCGTACACGATAAAATCAACAACTATAAACTTAGAATTAGAGAATTGTAGTTGATTTAATTTAAAGAATAAATAAAAAATTATCAGACTATTTGAAAATAAATGAATAATAATCATTATATATATATACATAATCATTTAAGCCATAAAATTTTATTTAAATTAATTCGTTTTTATTTTTTTTTTTGATTTATATAAACTTTTGATAATTTAATAAGAAAATCTGTAATGAATTATTGATCAAAAAATTAAAGCAAAATTAAATTTAATATACATAATATGTAGATTTATTTTATGTGATCTAACAAATTTTAGTAAAAAAAAGTTAAAAAAAGGTAAAAAAAAATTTTTATTATAGTACATAATATTAAATGAAAAAATAGTTCGCAGAAAAGAAATAAGAATTTTTTTTCTTAAATTATTAATTATATCAGGAAAATAAAAACATCAGATATTATGTAAATAATAATTACTATAATACATATATAATATAAAAAAAATTATATTTAAATGATTCAGTGAAAAAAACAAAAATATAAAAATATTAAATTTTAATTATAAATTAAAAAATGCTTTTCATTTCCTTATTATTTTATTATTATTTTATAACAAGTATATTTTTAATGTAATTTTGGAAAAAAAAAAATTCAAAAATTATTGCATGTATATTTGAATAAGAGATAAAAAAAAAAATAAAAAGCTTCCAACTCCTCCGCCCCCCCCCGCCCTCATAAAAATTCTGATAATATTTTGAAATATATACATAAATTTATTGAATTATATATATGTACATCAAATTTGAATAATTTTATAAAACAAAATATGAAAAATGATGATTTCTAACTTATTAAATAAATTTAGGGGCTTTAGTATAAAATTTATGTATAAAATATATATTTATATACACATTTATATATTAAATATACTGACTAGAAATTAAAAAATCAAATAAAAACAAAACAAACAACAATTCATAATCATAATTCATAATCTTCAAAACAAAAAAAAAGTTTTTCATTTGATTGAATAATTTGCTAAAAAAAAAGAAAATAAATAACAAACCTTTTTTTAACATTTTAAGCTTAAAAGATAAAAATGAAAGTAAATATTTAATAAAAACAAAAGATTTCTAGCATTAATTATATGTATAAAAAAGAAAATATAACATTAAATAGTTAAAAAATAAAGAAACAAATTGTAATTAAAAATTAAATCAGAAAAAAGTATATACTCATTGTAAATGAAAATTATATATTACAAAAAAAAAAAAATTAATGAATAAAAACGCGTAACAGAAAAATTAAAAAAAAAAAGAAATCTTAAAATAATAATATGACATGTAAATTTTTAAAAGTAGATAATATTATTATTATTATATGTTTATATAATTTATATATATATAATACGCATATTTATAAAATACTTATTTAAAACAAAAATATATATATATATAATTAAAAACAAAAGGATAATAATAAAACAATAACAATGATAATAATCAGATTAATAATTCTTAATAAATAAAATTTATATTAATATTACATTTAAAATATACATTAGAAATGAGTGCATAAATTCTTAAATAAAAAATATTTTAAATAAAAAAAAAAAATCTATTTCTATTGAATTCAAACTACATACACGAATAGTTTTATATATTTACCGAAAATTCAATGAAATCTAATTTATTTAGTATTTTCTTTAATCATACTTTATTAAAATTTTATTAAAAAATTCTATTTGCTTCCGTGGCAACATGGAAAAATGACTAAAATTGAAATTATTATTTTTGCTCTTGTTAGAATTTATAATAAAAAATGTTTCATATAATTTGTACATTTTTTTTTTTACAAATGATTAAGAAAGTCTAGTTTTTTATTGAATAATATTTTTCTTAATTTATTTTTCTCTTTATACAAGTATATATTGAGAATATGAACAGCATTTACTTTTTGCTTCTCACACCCTCTTCCTTATAATTAAAATTTTATTTTTTATAGAAGAGAGGATGTGAGAAATAAACCAGAAGGGCGGCTGTGCATACGCTCAATGCTATACCCATCTAAACAAATCCATTGTGTATTAATAAGAAACTGTAAATTTTTTTTAAAACTGTAAATTTATTATATAAAATGTTAAAAACATCATATTTTTTTACTTTATTCACATAATTTGCTTAGTTTGTTTTAATTGACTTTCAGTATTGTAATAAGAACTAATTATAATAGTAATTGAATACTATCAGTTAAATTTAACATTATAAAATCATAATTAATTAACAAATACAATAAAATATCATAATATAAAAATTGACATTAATATTTCAATAGAATTTCAATGTTATTCAATATTTTATATAAAATAATATTTTTAATGTATATTTTTTATGTAATATTTTACAAGAAAATAAAAAAACAAAAAAATTAAAAGAAATAATTACGAAAATAATATGAAAAAATTCGAAAAATATTGAACAAACAAAAAAAAATATAAAAATCGATTTAAATTTTAATAAAAGGAAAAAAATATTATAAAAAGAAAAAAATTGTGTAAGAAAAAAGAAGAATTGTATTAATTTTATTTTTTTTTTGTTTCTTTTATTATTTTCGTAATATGTAAAATGTAGCTTTTTTTTTTCTAAAATTGAAAATTATGTATATCAAAAATGTAAGTAAAAAAATCGTAATATTGCTCTGGTAATTTGAATTCGAAAAATAAAAAAAATTCGAAACCCTGACATGAAAAAAATTATTATTTTATTTTAATTTATTTTGTATTTAAAATAAGTGAGAAACAAAAATGATGTGTATATTGTATGTGTATTATAAAAATGAGTGATCCAAATTTTTTTTTAGGTGATAGATATTATTTATGAATATTATGTAAAATTTATGGAATCGAATTAATTTAAATTTTCTAATATGGTGGTAATTTTGTATATTTAAAGAGGGTGGTATATATTGTTGTGTACTATTTTATAATTTGATTTTTTTTAATTTTAATATTTTCCTCCATTTAAATCTATTTTATTTTATTAATAATTAAAATGAATGTTATTTTTTAGTTTTTAATTAAAAGTCGACAAAATTTTAATTGAAAAATTTTTGTTTTTTTTTTTTTGTTTTTTGCTACGAACGACTTAAATTATATACAAAATAATTCAATATATATTTCGAATTAATAAGAAATTATTATAAAAAAAAAAAAATAATTAAATTAATAATTAAATGCTTAAATAGCAGCCTATATTAAATATCAATTTTAAAATAAGAAAATCAAATTACAATTGAATTTCATTTTCTAGAACCAATTTTCTTTTATTATTTTTAATCTTCTGTTTGTAATTCGGTTCATTTAGTCAACAATAAAATTTATTTTATATTTTTAATTTCTTAAAAATTACACTTTCACATCCGTAAAACAAATCCGTAGTTTTATCTATTAATCAATATAAAAAAAGTATTAATATTAATATTTAAGAGGTGAGGTTGTTGTATTATATTATTTGAAAATTATAAATTTTAATTTAAAAATTATTTATCGGTGGGCTAAAAAAAAAAAAACAAACTACACAATTTATGCATTTTATATTTCATATTATCGACTAGATAAAAAAAAAAAATTCTAATGTAAAATATTTTTAAGTTTAAGATTTATTTAATAAGAAATACGAACACTTAAAACGTCTGCTTCGAATCAGTATAACAAGTAAAAGAAAAAAATAATATAGCGATTATTTAAAATAACATTAAAAAAAAAAAAAACAAAACGATTTATATATATATTTTGTTTACTTTTTAAAATTTAAGTAAATGATGTAAAAAAAATCCTTTCACAATTTTTTGATTATAAGATTAAATTTTTTTATTTATATTTCACTTATTTCCTAATTAATTTTTGTCTTCTGTAATTAAAATTATTCTTTACTTATTATATCTTTTCTCTATTTATTTAAAAATTTTATTTTATTTATTCTCAATGTGTATTCTTTTTGTACTTTTAAAATAAATTAATTTTCATTTATAAAATTCTTTTTTTTTGGTTTTTCTTAATTTTGAATGTAATTTTTGTTTCAATTATTGTATCTTTTGTTATATTAGTAATGATATTATTTTTGTAATATACCATATAAGAACGAAAAATTAATAAAAAAAAAATATATTAAAATAATTATTAAAAAAAAAAAGAATATTTATGTGTGTTTTCTTTATTTATTTAATTATATTTTAAATTCTTATAATATATAACTTTTATGAGTTTCAAATATGCATAACTATCATGTTGGACACTGAATATTTTGTATTTACATATTTTAAAAATAAAACTATAAATCTTTGCAACACTTCCCAGAGAAAAATATATCATGTGGCCATTTATGAATTATAAATATTTTATAATGGGGCCATTATGTTATATTTGCAAAATTACGAATAAAATTTTATACATATTGAATTTTCAATTAGAATGATTTACATAAATAATTATTTTTTTTTTTAATTTGTTTCTTGTAGCCCCAGTCTACAATTAAAATAATTTAATTTAATTAAAAAAAGGAATTCATATTTGGCTATAATATCTGACACACTTTTCTGATATCAATAAATCACCTTCAACCATTTCCATTGTTATTTGATAATTGTGTAAATCATTTATGAATTGGAATAAAAACTTATATTTTTTTCGTTCCAATTCATTATAGAGAAAGAAAAATAGTGTAGTTGAAATAAATATTAATATCAATTTAATAATAAATATATTTATAGAATTATTATGTATGATGGGTTCATCAAATTTCTTTGCTAATTCGACAAAAAAACCGGGCTAATAAGAATGTGTTACAACAATACAGAGTTGTCAAAAATCTAATTTACAAGTTCAGTCACAAGACTAGTTTTAAAATAACTCGATTAAAAAATTTCTGAATTAAAATTAATAAGATTTACCAAAAAAATTAAATAATAATTCTTGGAGAAAAAGAAACATTCATGAGAATAAGATAATTAATTCATGAGAACAAAGATAACTGACATGAAATTTAATACGGTCTCTTGAAGAAACCTAAAAAATTTTATTGTAATAGTTGACTTTAAAATACTGTCAGTATTATAAAATGTTGCACTATTGTGTAAACACCAGATCAAGGAACTTCACCAATTTGACAAATTTACCATACATATAAGGTCTATTGTTTTTAATACATTTTGCAAAACATATAATAAAACTTTTTCTGAGATAACACATCCAAATTCTATATTTTTTTTCAATATTTTTGATAAGTATAGAATTTTCCGGTCTTGCAAAAAAATTAGCTACATTACAAAATTTAATGGAATAGAAATTTGTTGAGGATGCAAATAAGAAAAGCCTTATTTTTTATGCTATTCAGGGATAAGTGTTTTTAATACAAATATTTACCGGTATTATTTCTAGCAGTATAATGTTTTTTTTTTCTTAATTTTAAATATTGTATATTTTACCTTGCCCAATTACAAATTTAATTAATTCGATTTCAATGACAAGACAATTATTTTAGAAATAAATAAATGGTCTAAAAATATGAATATTAAGAAAAGTTTTTTTTTTTAATAAATTACCATTTATTTTTCAATTTAGTAAAATTTTTATATAAATATGTAATATGAGTTTTTTTTATATATATATAAAAAATGAGAGTGATTGTAAATTATGGTATTTTAAGAGAAAAAATTTAAATGATTTTTGAAATATTTGTTTTTAAATGCTTCAATAATATAAAAATTTATATAACATTATTATTAAAAAAAGAAATACTTTTATATTAGAATTGCTTTGATATTCTACCATTGAAAGTTATAAAAAAAATCTTCTAAAGAAAAAGTTTTTCGAAACCTTTTATAAAATTACCATTTATGAAAAATTTTCAAAATTTCATTCTTAAACAGGTTTCTATTTTATTCAAACTTGTATAAAAAACATGTCCAATTCATATTTTTTCTCTATGCTATTCCTAAGCTACTATATCAAATTTTATATAGAAATTATCAGAACCAATTTATTTTTTATAAAATAAGGGCTTTTTATACAATTTATATAGTATAATATTTTTGTTTTCTCTTACAAAATTATCATTTTTTAATTGATAAAAAGGCAAAAATATAATAATTTTCTAATCTTGAAGTAACAAAGCACAATTTTTTAATTTATTTATTTTAAAATAATGTAATATAAAATTTTATATTAAAATATAATTATTTTCGCCTTAAAAAGCTTTAAAAAGTCGCTTAAATTTAATGTTATTATTATATCTATAACTAAATACCTATCGAAAATAATAATTTATTTTTTGAATTTAGCCCAAAGTGAAACAAAAAACGCTTTTTATATATAAATAGTATCCCAAGTTTAGAAGATCTTTATACAAAATAAAAATAAAAATATTATGTCCTTTGAAGATAACAAAAAACAAAATATATTGAATTATATAAAATAACATTTAAACAATGTGAAAAGAAAAGTAAATTAAATTTATGTTCCAAATTAAAGAGCAAGAAAGACAAAATACAAATAATAAAACATTAAAAAAATAAATTATACACGTTGCAAAACAAAAAATGAATTTAAATTAACAAAAAATGTGAAATTATAAGTGTTTTATTTAATAAAAAATAAATTAATAAAAAAAAAAAAACTTAAAAAAAAAAAAAAAAAGGATATGAATAGCGAGTTTACTGTATTGCTAAATTCATAAAAATAAATAAATACACTGAATTGATTAAATTAAATTGTTTTATTCTAAAATATTTCTGTACCTTCAAAACTGGAACTTAGTTCTGAATATTTCCCTTACTTAATTACTTTTTACTAACACATTCACTTTACTTCCAACGATGATTATTACCCTTATTATGATCGGCGAAGTGAATAGCTGGACAAGTCGAATAGACTAGGTGAATCGAATGATATTTTAAATTATGATTGGCGAATGCTTTCATTTTCGAGATCCAAAATTTTGCTAATAATAAATAATAAGGTTAACACCTTATTTGCTTGCTTTTTTGCAAGAACAATTAAATTTTCCTATCCCTTCAGCAACAATTACGTGGTTGTTGCCCATTAATTTACTTAAATGCTTGAAGTTTTTGGTTCTTTTTTTTTCACGCTTAAACTAATATGAAACAATTAATATTTTTTACAATTATTTGTTAAATTTTATGAACTTACTTTACAGATAGTTTAGATTTATTCATTGTAAATTCTACAATATCCAATCAAAATAAAAGATTTTTGGTTTCATTCGCCAAGCTTGTCACACAAAATTTTCATTCGACAGATTTAACAGCTCATTCGCCTAAAATTTAGATGAACTCGCTAAATTCATAATATCCAAAAATTTTTATTCGCCAAAAATTTCATTCGCTTCGCCAGTCATAATAAAGGCCTATGTGTACAAGAACTTGTCTTTACTCATTTTTGTAATCAATTTTCCAATAAGATTATTCAGTTTTTCAATTCATTTCTCTCATATTTTCTTAAAATAAAGTGACTGAATTTTACATTTTACTCGATTGTAGAATAGAAATGAGAAAAACATTTTTATAACTTGATAGTCCTTCACTTTCTTCTTACCCAAATGCTGATAAAAATATAAAGTCGAGAAAAAAATAAGTAACGGAGAGTAAAAATTTGACAAAATAATTGGTGGAGAAGAGTAAAAAAGATGAACTACATAATACTGGCCCTAATATACAAAAACCAATTTTTAGCGATATGCAAGAACATTGTTCAATTTTTCATGATGAGCTATTGCTCCACTAAAAGATAAAGTTTTCAAAATCAAAATCAAGAAATGTCATAAGTAAGTATGTATGTCCTATTAAACCAATTACTTTGTACTTTTTTTTTAATCAAGTATTCGAAAAATTCAAAACACTAATGAATTTCATACTAATAGAAAGAAGTACTTTTTAAAAAGCTTAATAAGAACAAGCAAGTGAGAGTATAATAAGGCCTAAATATTAAAATCTAAAATAAAAGAAAAAATCGACATCATCAGAATAAGCACTGAAAGCTGACAAAAAAAAATGTCATGACCAAAATCGTTATGAGAAGTAAAGCGATATATATTGAAGAATCAAACTACCATTCAAAAACTACTACACCTAATTTTCAGAGCATAAAACTGAAAGTAGATAAAGAAATGTTCCGGAAATAGATATATTTTCTTCGAGGCTCAATTTTGGTCTTTTATTAACAGCAGTATGTAAATTATGCGTAAATTTCTTTGGTAATCTGTTTTGGAATTAAGTTTAAATAAGAAAAATAAAATGTCATGACATATATACATTTATGTACTTATGGAAATTTTCGATTATTTAATTATAACTTAGATCTTAACATAAAGCACATTCAATATGTGCAAACTGCAGAATACTGCAAAAATGATAAGTTTAAAAAGAACAGTTTTTCTTAAAGGTCTAAAGAAATTAGTGAGTTTTCTTTTTTAACTTAACCATTGTAAAAATATTATAGATTAAGAGAAGAGCATAATAGAAAAATTTTGGATATTGAAAAATTACTTAATTATTTTAAAAATCTGTAAAAGTAAAATATTCAATTTTTGCAGATTTGTAAGTATATTGAAAAAACTGTTGAGTTTTAAAATTATTACTTTCAGTTCACGTCTAAATTATGCGAAATATTTTTAAATTAATATTTAAACTAATTCAACTTTTAATTAAATAAAATTTTATAATTCACAAAATAATAACATGGTGCTGTAATCAAAAGATTATTGTTTCTACATTTAGAAAAAGGTTAAACAGAAATCTTGAACAGAAATTCGGCACTTAGTAATAATCAATTTGAACAATCTCCAAAAGCATGAATTTTTTTCAAAAAAAAAAAAAAAATTAAAACTTCAGCAAGATTTTAATTTCATATAAATTTATATTTTTAAATAATAATTGAATTATGATGTCTAATTTCTTTTTCTCTTCATTAATTTTTCTTTTACTTAAATTTAATTTTATTTAATTATATTTTAAAAATATTTTCTACTTAAAAATAATCAAAATTAAAACAGAATATTTTAGGGTATTTTTAATAGTAATTTTAATTTATCAAATACATTGAAATTATTTTTTTTTTTGTTTTTTTTTATTTTATCATCTAAAATTTTTTTGTTACTCAATTGTTTTTTTTTTTCTTCTTTTTTGTTTTGTAAAAATTGCGCATTTAATTTTTTTATAATTCTTCTTTTTTTTTTTTAATTGTAGTTTTTATTTATAATTTTTAGTACTAAACATATTTCCAATTAAATTTTTTTTTTTTTACTTTGTTTTGATAACCTTTCTTTTTATATGATTTTATGTTTTTCCAACTTCAAATTGAGAATATAGTGTTCCAAAAATTTAATGTTTGGATATTCCTTCGGCAAATTGCTCTCATTAAGTAATAAAATGGAACAAATTGTTTTCATATTGAATTTAATTTAATTTCCTTATGTACACATGCATACATACGTCATAAAATGTATAATCGATAATGTCATATGGAATTGCAAAACTGCAAAGCTTTTAAAAAGCATTATGTACAAATTAAATGTACAGCTTTCGAAGCTTTGCAGTTTACGATTACATCTATTATCTAACATTATCAGATTACACTTAAATATTTTAGAAATTCATAATTTAATTGCTTGCTTACACAAAACACACAAAACTTTCTTTCTTTCTCAATTTTAACACTCTATGTTAAGCAATTTAATGAATTTTTAGATTTTTTAAATAATTTGAAATTGGAAAATAATTGTTTTTTTTTTTGGTTTGCTTTTTATTTGATGAAATATAGAAAAATTTTATGGTGTATTTTTAATTTGGCTAATCATGATTATTTTTGTTTATATTTTAAACTTTGTTATATCATTAATTTACTACTTTTTTTTTTGCTTTTCACACAAATATACGACAATTTTAAGTTTTTTATTTTATTTACTACATTATTTAAATATTTTTTACACATATTAATTATACTTTTTAATTTTGTTTAGTTTATTTATGCTTTGCGTATTACACTTTTGTATCTTTAAATTAGTTTTGTTTATTAATTTTAATTATTTTTTAATAATATAGCAAAACGAAATAAATTTTGTAAAATTATCAAATCGTTAAAAATAAATTATTATATTTTAAATATTTGAATTTAATTCAAGAAATAATATTGAAAATAACATTTAAGATGAGAAAATAATTTTCAATTTTCTCATAATAATTTCTTAATGTAGCTTTTATTCAAATGTTTAATTTGTTTTCAAAAAGTTACAATGAAATCTTGTATAATCAATTACTTTCATAAACTTATTTTGAATAAGGCAGATAAAATCCAACCCAAGCTCAATTGTGTAACAGAACTAAATATTTTTTTTTATAAGTTGTAAGAATAAAATCATGCAAAGAGTTATAATAATTTAAATAACTAAAGTTAAAATCAAAGTTAAAGTAAAAAATTAAAAAATAACTAGTAAAAAAATATAATTTAAATAACTAATTTAAAGATGCAAAATTTGCTTCTAATGCTGATTTTTTTTTTTTCATTTTATTTATATCTTTTTTTTTTTCTTTTGTGAAAATAAAGACTTCCTTACAAATTCTGTTAAATAATTTACAATTTATTTTTAAACTGTATTAATCCAGAAATACAGATATAATCGATAATTACAATTCAATAAATTTTCAATAATACAAATTTTTTATGAATATTTTATAAAAGTTAAGAATATAGAAAAAAAAAATTTTTTATAGTTTTTTTTTTTTTTGTATATTATTTGGTTTGATGATTGTGAAAATGTAATTTTTAAAGTATAATTTTTGTAAATTTATATAAATATGTGAATTCATTTGAATGTATTTACATGAGAGCTTATATAATATGTTACATTTAAAAAATTTATTAATGCTAATGAAATAATATATAATTCAATCTCAGCAACAAGGATATAAAAGGCAATTTGGTAATATTTTATTAAAATACAATGCAAAATGTAAAATTCCCTGTTATATGTTTTTAATTCCTTAAATGGTTGTTGATCGAAAAATTATTTAATAATTTTAAAAAATAATCCATAAAACTTGTAAGTTATTATTATTTTGTTGAATTTTAATTTTACATTAATTTGGATAAATTGCCATGAAATTTATAAATGTATGATTTTTTTTTTTTATAACAAATAACAACGAAAATATTACACGTATAAATTCAAAGTTAAGCCTCTTCAATTAATTCCTTGAATATTTATTCATTTGCAATAATTTGATATCTAAACGTATTAAATGTAATTTTTCAAAATCGATATTCTTATATTATATAAAAAATAATAATAAATATATCGTGAAAACGTACGCGTTTGATAGAAAATTTGGCTCGTATGCTGTTTAATTAAATATGAAAATATTCACTGTAACATATTATATTATATTTAATATTTATTTTTTTACTATTGTTTTTTTAATATTATTAGTATTATTACAAAAAGAATTTTATATGCAGATATGTTGAGGAAAATTTTACAATAATTACTGTAGTAGTGTTAGTTTTGTTTTTCAGATAAAAAATATTCTTCTTTTTTTTTTTGTTTTTTTTTTTTTTTTGGATATCAGAAAAAACTGTAACAAAAAATCTTTGTTTTCTTTTAATACAATAAAAATTAAAGTCTTTTATTTTTTGTTTGTTTGTAATTCAAGCAAATTTGTTATTCTTATTTATTTATTTTTTTTTCGCCTATTTTCATTTGTTTAATATAAATTCATTTGTAAATTCATTTAAATATAGATATTGTAATTATTTTTCTTAAATTCTAATTTTTCTTATACATTATGTTAAGATTATTTGTTGAATCTACTTCTAAGAATATGATCTGAAGTTTTCTGTTCCTTTTTATTTGTGTGTTTCTTAATTTATAATTAAATCTTAAATATAATCAATACGCAATTAATTACTCCAAAAAAAATCTTAACTAACTATTGCACTAGTAAAGGAAGTTTGAACATCTTTAATATTTATTATCAAGTTATACAGTTTAAAAGTCCCTTACAATTATTTTTTTTTTCAATTTGATATTTCAATACATTAAATATTTTTTTTCTTTTCAGAGCTATTTCTATTTAAAATTTAAAAGAAATATACACATGATTTAGTTTTTATTATATATATATTTATATATAAGCTTATATAGATATATAATTTAACAACAAAATAATATAATTTTAACGCAAAATGTAAAATAGATTGTTTTAAAATGCTTCCAAATAATTTTTCAATAAAATTCAATAAAATATCAATAAAATATTAAATGGAAGATTGGTTGGTTAAAAACAAAACAAATCGTTATTTTTTATCCACTTAGTATAATTGAAGATGATAAAAAATTATCTACCAAAAATCAAAATTAAAAATGTCAATATCAGTGATAACGATCCAAATAATTTCTGAATATATTTTACGATTTTTTTTCTGTTTCTAACCTTAGAACTCATTAAAAATTAAAACATTATTAAAATGTATATTAATAAGCTATGCACATAGGTTACATATATATATATATATTACGATATTTACATATATATATATATATATAGTTAATAAAAATCAAAATGAAAACTGAAATTTTTTTATAAAGTAAATAATTTTTTTACAAATCAAGAAAATAAATTTTAGAAAAAAGTTTAACAATCTGAACACTTTTTTTTACAATCCTCATTCTTATGAATTATTAAACAATAAAAATCTTCTTTATTATTTTGTCCATAGTCGATATATACTAATAAAGGGGGAATTTTAAAAGCAACTAAACATGTTATTTTTAATATTTCAAACAAATTTCAACTTTTTATCAGTTGAGCCATGAAATTCGTGGTTATTTTATTTTTCTATATAATGTCTGCATTGAGAAGAAATTAATATAAATTTTTTTTTATTGAAAGCATTAATTGGAAATATAGCTTAATTTTTATAACTTTCAAAGTATTGCTTTTATAAATACACCCGGCATTTATATTTAAGCTTCGGAGGTAAAAGGATCACGAGAATGATGTATTTTTAGATGTTTGTTATGATTTGTTTTTGTTGTTGAACTTTTGCCACAAATGGTACACAAAAACGGTCTTTCACCAGTATGTATACGACGATGCTCTATTAAATAATAATGTCTATGAAAAAGTTTTCCACATAAATCACAACTGAATTTCTTTTGTCCGTGATGTTCACGTCTATGTCTTAAATAATTATATTTACGTATAAATTTACATCCGCAATATTCACAAGTGTATGGGCGAATTTGTTTGTGAGCGTTCATATGATTTTTATAATCAATTTCACGTACAAAAGCTTTTGTACAATGCTCACATTTAAAAGGTTTTGCGGTACGATTTGCATGCACCCAACTATGTATTTTTAAATTCCATTTTGTACTAAATGATTTATTACAAATAGCACACTCGTGTTGAGTTTCCATTGAATGTGTAGCCATATGACTTTTAAGACTAGTTTTTGCATATATATTATTGCAAATTGGACATTCGGCTGGCTCATTGTAAGCAAATTTATCGGCATGTGCTAAACGAATATGACGTCGTAGACTATTAACGTGAATAAAACGATCGCAACACCAAAGACAACATTTCGGTTTTGGATCATGGGTTTCTTTATGCCAAATAAAACGAGCTTTTGTTGGTAAAACTTCGCCACAGTAACAAACATAATCTTTTTTTCTTATGCTCTTTTTGGTATGACACACTCTTTTATGTTGTGTTAAATTTGAATATCGTTTGAAAGATTTGCTGCATAAATTACAGTTTAAAGGTGTAATTCCTGTATGTATACGCATATGTTCTACTAATGCGCTCCTAATTACAAACTTTTTTTGGCAAATAGTACAACCGAAATCTTTCCATCCTAAATGACGTTTCAAATGAATTGAGAAATATGTCCAACGAGAAAATTTTTTACCACACGTAAAACATTCTGCTGGATGTTCCGATAAATGTTCATCAAAAAGTTTAACGCTAATAAAGTCTTGCTTACAAACCATGCAACAAAAAGATTTTGAATTAAAAAGATTCTGATCAATTTCTACATTACTGTTTTGTTTAAGAACACCTAAATTGAAATTCATTAATAAACGGTAAACATTTGTTCGTATTGAATCGTATTTAGTTCGCGGGTAATTAGCGGGAACTGTTGTTCTTGTTGCAACAACTGCCAAATCTGGTTTTTTATCATCACCATCAGGGATATCGATATCATCATTTCTGGTAGTGCTAACAACAGTAGTTTCTATTATTGGCTGCGAAGCTTCTGGAAATTCGTTTTCAGTTTTTATATATTGTGACGACAACACTAATGAAGTTACTGAATCATTGACGTCTGGCTTTGTATCATTATCGACAGCTAAATTAACATTGTCGCTTTGCTGATCTGTAATACTTACGATGTTATTTATAGTAGCAGATGTAACGGTAGATGATGGTGCTTCCCGAATCAGACGACGATTAACTCTTTTATATTGATGTATTGAAACCATATGATGATTTCTATCTTTTAATCGTACGAATACTACAGAACAATGGTCACATTGATAAGCTTTCTTTTTGGTTATTATTGCTCCGGATATTTGACCATTTTCCAAAGATGATGAAGCTGCATTATTATTTAAATTAACCGTATCTAAAATTGTCGTGGTAGCTGAAAACAATGTTGGCGCTTTTTTTCGTTTTTTTATTTTTTTAGATCCGGCAGGCTCGTTAACACATTCTGTTGATGTTCCTGGCAAAATAGGCTTAATATCTTTTTCTATGTCTGAATTTGTGGTCCTAAAAAATAAAATCTATTAGCATTTTTTGTTATTTTTACATTTTAGTACTTACACTTTAGATCGGATATTATTTAAATCATGTGGATTAAAGAATTCATCATGACTTAGGCTCCAACTTTCATGACTTACGTCATAAGGATTAGAATATTTGTATGTCAATTCATTATAAATCTAAAATAATAAAATTAAAATAATTTGCATTTGATTTTAATATTAAAGAACAAAATTACAGGTTGACTCCATGAGTTATCAATGTCACCATTACTTTCTTGCTCAGAAATCTCTCCTTTAGCAGGCATTTTTTCATCCGTTCGTATATTTAATTCTGTAATTAAATTATCTCTACTGTTATGAGTACTAATTGATGTAACAGTGTTTATGTTAAGAATTCCATTTGCTGTACTGCTCCCATTATTTCGAGTTTCTCCATCATTATTTTCAGTATGCTTGGTACATAGATCTAAATCTAAGTAACTGTTTTTTTCCTCTGATTCATTATCCTCGCGCGAAGTAAATATGGTAGGACCTACATAACGATTAAAAATTTGAATACCACCATTAACAGCGTTATCATCATTAACACCTGTTTTTGAGTAAACAGAGATCGAAGATGAAGCTGATGTGAGAGAATTTGTTGTTTTATCAATCATGTTACTATTACTAGAACTGTTCGAGTTAAAAATAATTTCGTGTTCACTGTTGTTGTTTTGATTAGTAGTTGCACCTAAAAATATGATTTAGTTTTAATTATTGAATAAATCATTGCTACTTTAATAACTTGTAACGATTTTAAACAAAGAAAAAGAAAATTTACCTGAAGTAAATGCACCACTTGAAAAATTCAAATTTGCTGTATTAGGTATTACAGTTGACGAGGCAGAGTACAAAAAACTGAATGGATAATCGCAATATGTATTCTGTTGTGTGTTGCTTTGATTATTTTGTATATCAATAACTAATTCAGCGTGTTCAATTTGCTGCTGTATTTGTTGTTTATTTGGTTGATGATCTGATGTGAATGATTCTGGGGTTTTTCCTGTTGACAAACCGCAGCTGACTGTTTGAAACTCATTATTCAAAAATTGTCCAGGAATTTGATTTGTTTGCTGAACGGCTACCTTCCTGTCACATTGTCTATCATCATCTATTTCCTCAATAATGAAAACCGTTTTTGTAATATTGCTTGTAGTGAAACTTAAATCACTTTTTTTTTCATTAACATTTCGGGATTCATTTTCCACACTACAATTATTAGTTTTGATAGACATAAAATTTTTGTCTTCGTCACAAAACTCATCATTTTGTATTATTTTTAAATCATTTAAACTTCCAATTTCTTGATTAGAAACTGATAAAGGCGATGAGGAAGAAGGAGATGAATATGATGACGATAACCCTAATGATGAAGTTGAAGGTGATGCAGACGGAATTTTTGTAGCATCTTGTATTTGCATTGGTTTCCCAATATCAGCAAAATCTGGTTCTTTTTCTATTTTCAAATTGAAATTTTCTGTTAGATTTTTTTCAACTGTTTCACAGGTATTGACCTCGTTCTCCAGTCCAGGTGCGCCAAATGATATGTCGTCTTCGTTTACTATTTGCTCCATCATATTATTAAGAGTAGTTTCATCAGAGTCATCTATATTTTTCTGCTTCATTCCTTTGTTTATACTTGGTATTAATATTGAATCTTCTGGCTTAACAGAATCATTCTCAATAGACTCATTTTCCGTTATGTCTATAATTTCTTGCGACTCGCCTTCTTTAACGAATGAAATTGGCGAAGGTGTAACGGGAGGTAAAGGATTTTTAAATTTTACTATCAATTTTTTAGGGTTTTTTCTGTAAACATTTTTCTTCACACATGAATTTTGCAATCGACTCTGAGAAGAACACGATGCTATTGGTTCATTTTCAATTTGAGATTTTTCGTTTAAATCTTTTTCCCTTTTGGGACTCTTTGATTTTTTGCTTGAAGATGGTATTTTGGATTCTAATTGTTTTTGGTTTACTGCTAAACGAATCACACTTGTTGCAATTATTTTCGTTGCGTTTTCCACTGATAAATTAGTTGAGGTACATTTTTGAGCAGTTTTTTTATCATTTAAGTTATTTAGTTCTTCTACTTCATCTACCTCACTGCTTGCGCTTGTTGAGGGTAAGGAATTACAGCTATACGATTTATCTGAATCTTCTTTTTTAATTGTATTAACTATTCCCGTCCAAAACTCTTCAGTGCTACATTTTTGGATATTTTCAACTATTTCAAGAGATTTATTCGCATCTAATTTTACATTGCTTAAAACTTTCACACCTTTAGAGATAAGTTTTCGTTTTGAAGAATTTAAACGTTGCTCATTTCCCTCATTATTTTTTGATTCGTTTTTGTGTTCAATTAAATCTGCGTTTTCATTTTCAAAGTTTTCCGAACTCTCAGTTTTGATATCATTTTCAGAAAATTTAGCACTTTTATTATTTTTTGACAGCTCATTGTTTTTATCATCACAACCATGTTCTTCACTTACTTCTTCATGAATATCATCGTCAGCTTCTTGTTTTTCATTGTTCATTTGAGCATTTTCTTCTAATATATGTTCATTTACAGATACAATACTTGGTGGTGATTGTATAACCTTTTCAATAACAGAAAATTCCCCATTATCTTTTTCAATACACTCTACTATATGACGTGGTGATTCTTGAACTAGAAAATCACCAGAATCTCTTTCTATATATTGTGCAGCAGGTGGAGTATCAGCAAAACGTAATACTGAAGAAGAATGCGATTGAGATTTGCTTGCTTGATGTGATTCATTTAAACTGTTTTCAGATGAGCGAATTGATGTAATCAAACAAATGGGCGATGGGGATCTAGGATTATTAACTTCCTTTTCCAAATTGACACCTTTTGGAAATTTAACAACTTCCTCATTTAAAGTGGTCTGACAATCTAAAGGTTGAGAATATGTGGAAAATTCAAAACAGGGCCCGTTACTTGTGGAAATGTCACTGTTTTGACCACGTTTTAAATGTGATGATGAGTTGTATGGTGGCGCAGGTAAAGATGAATTATTCACTGTTGATGATTGATGATGTTGCTTTGGTAATGAAAAGTCTAATGTTTCTTGATAATTGTTGGTGTTAGTATAGAAGTTAGTAGTCTGTTGGTTAACTATTGAGTACGAAGTAGATGAGTTACTTGATATTTGATAGCTATTATCGTTACTATTATTATTACTGTTATTAAAATTAGTGTTAATTGCATTACAATTGTTACTGTTATTATTACTATTCAATGATAAATTTGCTAAAGATTTTGTAGTATTTGTACGTGCAAAATTTTGAGATCGTAACTGGCTTATTGCTTGTCTATATTCTGGTGGAGGCGGCAATTGTTTTGTTTTAGAGTTAAATAAATGCTAAAATTAAATAGAAATTAAAATAAATTTATGAACGCCACAAACGAATAAAATGTAATTTTATTTTTCAAAAGTTATGTTATTAATTGATTTTTTTTTTCAAAGTAAAAAACTAAAAGAGAAAATAATTTTTTATAAATACTTACTTGCAAGTGGGAAGGGAAATTTATTGAGCTACTTTGGTTTCCCATATTACTATTTGCCTGTAACCCATGTGTTTCCTGCACTTGATATCCTGAACTATACGCTGAATTAGATTTATAATTCAAACTAGATGCATTACTGTGCACCCTGCTTGATGCGACGTCGTTAAAAGATGTTGAAATAACAGGTGTAGTTTGAATGTTAGAGCTAAAGTTGGAACTCGTAGTAAAATTGTTTAACGAAGATGAAGGACTTGAGCTATTGCCATTACTAGGTGAACGTATTTGCAAATTATTACTACTATGCAAAACTGTATTGGCAGATTGAAAGTTTTCATAGTTTGCGGAAGATGTGGCTGTAGATGGTGCAACAGGCGTTGTCGTTTTATTAGTAACATTATTTGTTAAAATGTCACCAGATGACAAGGATCCTGTAGCCAGAGATACCAAAGCTTTTATTACTTGTTCTTTAGGATGAGTTTCCAAATGTTCAGCCAAACTCATTCCCTTATGCAAATACAAGGTACAAACCGGACATGCAACCAAATCCATCATTTTGACAGTCTCTTTTTAATTTTTTCTAGTTACACTAATTTATAAATCTACTAGGAGTGTGAAGAATTACTAACTTAAATTAAATTTAATAAGTTGCATAAATTATCTATACTATACTTAATAAAACTCCTCCCCGTAGAAGTTTAAAATTATCAGCAAAAGATAATCACATACAACGCAAAACTTTTTATGGTCGTTTCTCGTAAATATATACACGAGAAATCGATACATAAACCAAAAACGTCACAAAAGTTCCATATTAGATTTTTAAAATCTTCAAAATGTTTTAGTATAAACACCTGAAATTGTTGAAAAATTGTTTTTTATTTATTATTAGTTCATGTTTATGCAATAACTTCTTATTTCCACTTTTAATTGAACTTCATATTAACGCCCAATTTTTTTTCCACAAACATATTTTTCAAATTAATTTCATCTTTGATATTTTTTTTTTGTTATAATTATTCTTTTAAATATAGCTTTTATTCTACACCATTTTTATTTTCATAGGTAGGTATAATGAAAATTATTTTTTGTTACTTTTTTCTTTTCCTGATAGGAATTTTCAGCTGCTCGATCGATTTACTACGGAATTATTCAATGACAAAAAAAAAACAACAAAAGCTCTTAAGTCCTCTTACTTCTGTAAGAAATTTTATCACTTCTATGTAACATAGTTGCAAATTTTTTACTTCTCACTTTTAATTACTTATTGTAAAATAAGTTTTTACACTTTTTAGGTTTAACACTATCCCAAATATTACAAAATAATAAATTTAAAATAATCTCAATGCAGACATTTTATTTCATTTAATGACTTCTATTGAGAGTGCTGCCGTATTAAATTTCCTTTAAAAGTCTGAAGTATGTTGTCCCCAGTAGCGTTTTTTGGGGATAAATTGGGTTTTTATTAATGTCAAAGTCAAATTTGGTTAACCCTCTTGTGTTACTATATTATTTTATTTTTGACACAGCACAAAAATTTTTATTTAAGTTAAAAAAAAATATTTTCGAAACGAATCACGTGTTAAAACATCTTCACAAATTTGGTAACATATGTGTTACAACCCGGAAATATATTCTTTTGCCAAAACGGATTAAGGTTATTAAACAAAATTAGTTAATTAATGTACATTAAGAGATGCCACAATTCGACGATTTTGAATAAAAACGTAAATGTTTTTTAAAGTAAAACGTTTTTTTACTTTTTTGTTATGTCACTGATAATTTTTAACACGTTAATTTTCCATTTTTTAAAACTAATATTTAAGTTCCAATTACTCAGACAGTAATATTCAAACTTACAGTATTCAAACTTTTCTTGAGTTACCAAAACTAAACATTTCACACCAATGCACGTAAATTATACGTTACTTTTTGTTTGTACATGGAAACAGTATTTCTGATTGACAACAATCGATCGTGTGTTTTCGGAGGTATTTTGGCTTTTTAACATTTGAAATGTCTTCTTTTAATAAATTGACATTTGAACAAACCAAAGCTGTATGAAAAAAAAATTGTTTTACAAAAAAAATTAAAGTTCATATACGAAAAAGGTGTTTCCATTTACAAACTACGAATGTAGTTTGAACATGTAAATGTAAATTGAAAAACCAAAATTTTATCCCGTTAACTTTTCGGACTACTTCGATTTATAGATTATGTTAACTACTTATCTTAATTCTAAATACCATTTTTTTACTTATTTTTTGACATATTTCATGAAAATCTTGCTCATTAATATTTTTGGAAGTGCCAAAGCCTTTTCTCTCACTCATTCCCAGTAAACTTAAACAACTATATTATGACTGTCAGGGCTGACATTTTTTGATTTCTACATTTAGTTCTGACACTGACAGTACGTAATTTTCAGATTAGTTTTGCTTTGGTAAATTTATAAAATAAATTAAAAAGTGTTGGTGCAGTGACTAAAAAAAAGCAGCAAATTTTTATTGTCTAGTATTTTTTAAAAATAATTGATAAAAATACTGTATATTTAATTGCACTCAAACGCTAGAAAAATAAACGTTTTTCATTGCGTGTTAAATGAAGGTCTCAAGCTTATTGCAAAATCAAGGATAATTGTTGCTATAAATTTTTTTTTCTTGTGTTTGAATACATATAAGAAGGGCATAATAAAGTACGATATAGAATTTGAAAACTAGAACATGACCCGACGATGCACTATAGAAGGTTGTAACTCTAGATCTGACAAACCAGAACATAGAGGAGTAACGTTTCATTCATTTCCATTTGATTCCAAAACAAGGGATATATGGATTGTAAATTGTAAAATTCCCGCAGATAAAAATATAACGAAAAGCGTTGCAGTGTGTTCAAGGCATTTCAGAAGGGCAGATTTTACAGCAGTTAAAGGAGGGAAATATACTTTAAAACCAGGAAGCGCTCCAACAATTTTTCCTTGGGGTAAAATAGATCATGTCAGAAATGATAACGAAACGAAAGGATCAGATCTAAAGAATGTTGCAAACACATTGGGGTCATCAGAATCGGAAGAATCTAAAACTTTTGAAACTAAAGTTGAAGGTGTTAAGAGCTCTAAAAGAGTAAAGTCAGATGACGAATTATTTTCAAAAGATAATCCTAAAAAAATTCCCAAACTGGAAGCTGAAAATAAATCTCCATCAACGAATTCAAATTCAAAAATCCCAAAAAAAGAATCGCTAAATTTTGTGCCTGGAGTAGTAGTAGAAGCTCAAGATTTTGACGGAGTTTGGCATATGGCTAAAGTAGACGAAGTGGATAATATTGAGAGGGAAGTATTGCTAAAATTTGAAGGAAAAGAAGGAAAAGGGTATAGTAAAAGAGGAACTGAAGAATGGATTCCAATGAACAGCAGACGTTTAAGACCTTATGTCGATAAAAGTAACAAACCAGAACAATTTTTCATAGCTGGCGAAAGAATTATGGCACGGTGGAGTGGTGCTAGAAAATTCCCGGCAACAATTTCTAAAGTTTTAGATAATGGCACCTACGATGTTGTTTTTGACGATGGTTTTGTAAAAGTTGTAAAAGGTGCACATATTTCAAAAATTAGGCAAAATAAGACAGCAGTTGCTTCTAGCGCTTTATCGCCCAAAACCAACGAACAACAACCCGAGCCAAAAATTTCTACTACACCATCTACAAAGTCTGCATCAAGTTCTCTATCAGGACTGGGGAAAAATTCAAAAACAAATAAAAAATTTTGGCCCTTAATTTCCAAAGAATCATTAAATTTGGGTAGGTATCTACCTATAAAAATTTTACTAAAAACTTTTCCAATTCATTTCGATATTTTTTTTTTTTAGATGAACTTAATCTTCCACATATACCTGAAGATGGAGAATGGTGCTGTCATTGGGTGAATGATCAACCAATTGGTAAAGAAGGTTTTTTAATGGTAGGCGATCACAAAAAACCGACCGTTATAGTTGATGATTGGCGGCTTCCATCCGGATGGATAAAACATATGTATCAAAGGTCAAATGTTTTAGGAAAATGGGATGTTATCTTGGTCAGTCCTCAAGGAAAACGATTTCGATCCAAAGCAGATTTGAAACAGTTTATAGAAGAACAAGGACAAATATATAATCCAGATGTGTACGATTTTAGTATACATAGAAGAAGAGCTAAAGATATAAATGCATATGTCTATACAAAAGATTACAAACCACCTCCTGCCATACCTAAAGAGGCCGCATATGCAAATGTTAAACCTATAGAAGGTGGACTTCCATCTTTATTGCCGCCACCTCTTAATTCAACAGTGTTGTCAGCTTTGACTTCAATAGAAAATGAAATTCAACAAACAGGCACATCACCTGCGCATCAAGCAAAAAGTTCAGGAACTGAAGATAGTAACGCTGGTATTCTGAAATTAGAGGATGGATGGGGTAATAATTTTTCGTTGCAAAATTTGATTTACCTAATTTATTTGAAATTTATCTTTCTTAGTTTATGTTGGTGGGCTAAAAGTTCAGATAATAGAAAATTTATTTAGATGTCCAGAGCAAAATTGTAACAAGAACTTTAGAAAAGAGAATCACTTACAAATACATGTAAAACATTACCACCATGAACTAGCAAAGTAAGTTTATCAAAATATTACACAATTAACCCGTAAACTGTAATTTTGTGATTTAATTAAATATCTTCTTTTACTTTGTTTATTAAAAACCACACTCATTTATGTGACTAGGCAAAAAAAAAAACAAAAAAATTAGGTAATATCTTTTTCTAATTTTTTAGGTTACTTGGAGTTTGCCCTAACATGCAAGAATTAGCTCTCAAACGTACTCTTGGTGAGCCGACAGAAGATCATTTACCAAAAAACCATTTGCCTAATGCACAATTCTTTGCTAAAGTTCACCAACAGGAGATTCAAGCGAAAAATCAACGCATACAAAAAACTTCATTTGCTAGTAATTCATTTACAACTTCACAAAGACTAAACTCTCCCACATCAATGACAAGTTATCAGCAAAATATAAATGTTCCAATATTACCGCCAGAAAAGTTGACTTCAGATCCCCCTAGCACTTCTGTGTTGGATTGTGCATCTTTGTCTCCAGTTCAAATAAGTAGTATGACAGATCAAAATCTTTTGCATCCGACTGGAGACGATTTGAAGGATATTGAAAACAAAATTTCATTGGAATTATCTACAACTGCCAGTGCAGAAACCTCTATTAAATCATCTACGGTTCTTCATACGCCGAAAACACTTTCCTTGTCTAAAAACAAAAAAAATATAGCGCGAAAATCTAACCGACAAAGAACTGCCAAAAAATTTTTAAACACCAGTTTAAAAGCCACCGTTTGCCCGTTACTTGATTCCACTATCAATCAGACTACTACCAACTTATCACCGAGGTTTAATGATTTCGAAGAAACACGCCATTCTTTCAATGCAACACCAGAAATTTCTAAAGTACCTTCGACGACGTTAAAAAAAACTAAAAATCTTCAGAATTTGTCTGTAAATGAATCTATCGATGGGAATAGTCATACTACTGGAGATTTTCCAGACCAAAGTCAAAGTCCACAATATGTTCGTGAAAATGGTGAATTAATAAAAATTGTTAAAATGCGTCAAGAGGAGATAATAAATTGCTTATGTTCATATACCGAAGAAGATGGTTTAATGATACAGTGCGAATTATGCTTATGCTGGCAGCATGGAATCTGCAATGGAATCGAAAAAGAAAAACAAGTCCCTGAAAAATATATTTGTTATATATGTAAAAATCCTCAAAGAGGTCGAGAAAGTATGAAGTATATTCACGATCAAGACTGGCTGTATGAAGGTAAATTACCCGTAGCGAATTACCATGCAAACTCTCCATCAGAAAAAGAAACTTTCGAATTATTAAAAAAATCCCACACTCTTACTGGAAATCTTTTGGAAACCAAAAAATTTTTACATAGCTTAAAAGTAAAAATGAATGTAGCAGCTAACAAGGATCATCCTAAAATGTACTTATGGGCAAAAAAATGGGAAGAAGATAATATAGCCAAAGACAAAATTGTTAATAAAGATTCAGATACTAAAGTTTTAGATGAGAAGAATAAGGACAAAAAAGAAGACATAAAGTTAATTGAAAAGGTTCAGCCCACTATCCCACAACCTGAGGCACCAATAGAGCCAGTTGAGTGTCAATACCGGTTATTGGAACATATAAAAATGCAACAGCAAAAAGTTAAAGAACGTTTAGATAGCATTGAGCAACAAGTTTCAGGTATGCATATAAATATTTGTTTGTTTTCTAACATCCAAAATAAAAATGGCACAAAAATTTTTCTTTTAGAAATTGAAATGTTTGACGGTGACCAGGAAATGGATGACTCTAAAATACGCGAAATGCTTTCATTAATGATTAAAGATCTAACGGTAATGAACAAAATTTCCAAAATCAATACGGTTCCAAAAACCTATGCTTATTAAACCAGCTGACATCGCAAATTTGAAAAAATGCAATTTTTGGTTTTGCTATTTCTTTTTTTAATTTCTAATTCTGTTCAAAATAAAATTGATCTTATCACTTTAATAAACAAAATTATTTAATTTTTCTTAATATCTTTCTTTCCAAAATAAGAGAAAAAACTGCATAAATAGAAATCAAAGTGCAAAATCTTCATTTAACAAGGAAAAGTTATGCAAGTAATTAGACATTAAAACCAAAACAGTTAGTTGAAATTCATTTTATTGCAATACATAACATAATACATAGTATCAGTAATAACATTTGCATTTTATTTTTAGGCTTTCAGAGCCTGATCGTGCATCTCCCTATTTTACTCACGAATGAGAAGAAAATGAGTAATTATCTTACATTTGTATAATGTAATTTTCGAGTGAGAAGAATTTTCCTATACTAAAACTTTCTTTTGAAGAGAAAAAAATTTATTCACTTTTCTTGTGAAGTTTAAGTGAAGATATGCAAAAATAAAATTGAAAAAATGAGCAATCTTATTGGAAAATGAAATATTTATTAGAAAAACGCATACCGTAACTTCAGAATTGAAGCAATACTGCATTGCTACACAATTCAGCAATAACAACTGATAAGCTGAATTTTGTATTAAGTCCGTATTGGTGCAATTTTGAAGTCAAGGTTACTTTAACTTTTCTTTCCATCGAATTAATCAAACAAAAAAATTATAACTTAATATAATTTTAATTTTTCATTATCTCACGAAAATTTTCATATTGTCTCTGATCAAAGTGTGGTCGCGATACCCCGTTTGGGAGTCGCTGTTCTAAACCATAAATCTTGCGCTTATGCAAACAATTATTTATCTATGTAATTCGAGTTTTCACTGAAATTTGTTTGAAGTTAAATTACAAATGTACATAAATATCAAAAATTTTGTTAAAATATTGAAATTTTGATTAAAAATTGGAATAAATACATACATTTTTCGGTTTTTCTTTCAAAGTTTTAATTGTGTTTTAATTGTAACGAAACATTTACATGTCAATCAAAGATTGACAAATTGGGATTGATTAAGATTGATGAAAATTTTCATTTACATTTCAATTAATTTTTGTCAATCTTTCTATATGCAACTTTAAATTCAAAAACTTAAAAAGTTATCCCTTCACTATCAAAAATCCATCTATCCAGGCTACGAAAATATAGAGTACATACTTTATAAATTTGTATGAAAATCACAAGAGATGTTTAATTAAAATCACACATCTGATTTGATTTGATGAAAATTGTAGTAAAATTTCTAGAACTTAGAAAAAACGGTAGTTCAGTTGTTATTTTATTTTGACATTTGTCAATATGAAAAAGTGACTTACTGGCTTTGAATTGACCGCACATAATTGTAATTTGTTAATTGTAATATTGAAAAATAATTGCTTCAGGTTAAAGCGGTTAACCAATATATATAATATCAATTTTAGTATATTAGTTTTTTGAGAACATTAAAGGATTTTACTAATTTTAGATTGAAAGAGGTCAAATAGTAGACCAAAATGACGGAAAAGAATAATGAACAAAGTATCATGGATAAATCCATGAGATCGGTTTTTGGTAAATATGTGCATGTATATTATTGTTTTTGTAGTTAGTTCTAACTTTTAAAATGATTTAGTGGGAAATATTCCATATGAAGCGACTGAGGAAAAGTTGAAAGAAATTTTTAGTGAAGTTGGACCGGTTATTTCATTAAAGTAAAAGATTTTTATGTATTTACATATCTATTAAATTTAATATGAGTATACTCCGGTAGGCTGGTTTTTGACCGTGAAAGTGGAAAACCGAAAGGATATGGTTTTTGTGAATATAAAGATCAAGAAACAGCTCTTAGTGCTATGCGAAATTTAAATGGGTATGAAATTGGCGGAAGGACGTTAAGAGTTGATAATGCATGTACAGAAAAATCGCGTATGGAAATGCAACAATTACTGCAAGGTCCACAAGTTGAAAACCCGTACGGTGAGCATTGTGAACCAGAATTGGCGCCAGAAAATATAACTAAAACTGTAGCATCTTTACCTCCTGAACAAATGTATGAATTAATGAAACAAATGAAGACTTGTATTCAAAATAACCCTAGTGAAACTCGTCAAATGCTTCTATTAAATCCTCAATTAGCATATGCTCTTTTACAAGCCATGGTCGTTATGCGAATAGTAGATCCACAAACTGCTTTGGTAAAAAAGCTTTTTTATCAGTTTTCAATATTTAATCTTGTTTTTGTTTTCAGTCTATGTTGTTTAAAGCTAACCAAATGCCACCTGTTTTAATTAATAATCCTGTAACTGGGCAACCACAAATGTCTGGCCCGCCACAACCAGCTATAGTTCCAGCGCCAACTATAACTTCCACTAATACTCCAACCTTTGGGTCAGCGTCAGGTGATATTGATTTACGAAGTGTTGATCCACGCAATGTTGATCCTAGACAATTAGATCCTAGAATTGGAGGAATAGATCCGCGTATAACTAGAAACTTAGATCAAGATATGGTAGGCAATATAAATAATCGTATTGTTCAAGAGTTTGAAAAAAATTTATTCTTATCGTTGAAAATTTTTTATTATTTTTTTATAAACGGGATAGAAGTCAATTAAAATTTAATTTAAATATTTTTTTCACATTATGATCACGTGGCTTCAAAAATATTTTAATATTAAAAAGAAATACATACATATGAATAGGTAAAAATAAAGTTTTTAGTGCACAAAATTCGATATTATTTAATCATTTTAAAAATTTATAAAGATTTTGTGATTGTTATAAAAATTCACTTAATCGACTTAATGTACTATCTTTCACGTTTAAAATATTCAATGTTTTATATGCTTGTTGAATTGAAAATAAACTTTATTTTTAGCGTGGAATATCCACAAATCCAGCTCCGGTTCCTCCTCCTATAAATAATCCAGATCCAAGGACACAAAGAGCTATACCACCTGTTCAACCCGCGCAGCCAACAAGTCATTCAGCATTTCCAAACGATCCAAGACAATCAAGATCTGATCCACGTCTCAGGGGGACTGGAACTAATCAAACTTCGCAGCCATTACAGCAAGGACCGTTATCATCACAGAATCGGTTACCTTCTAATGGTATACCAAGTGATGCTTCTGATCATGAAAAAGCTGCTTTAATAATGCAGGTTTTGCAATTGTCTGATGAACAAATTGGTCAGTTACCTCCAGAACAACGCCAAAGTATTTTGGTCTTGAAAGAGCAAATAGCTAAAAGTACCCAGCGTTAAATACGTATTTTAATTATTTCAATACCTATTACTATTTTTACGTGTGAAGTGTTCGAATTAAAAATTTTGATAAACTAAGAAAGAGTTTCTTGTTATTTACTCACTATTTTTTGGATTGATTTAAATTATAAAACTTAATAAAATATATGAAAAATTTTTTTCAAAAGGGAAAGACGGATTTTTTTAATAATACATAGTTTTTATTATTTGAAAAGGGATTAACATAAACATGTTTCATACAAAACACAAGAATTCAAGCGAAAAAAAAAATGGAACAAAACTAAAAAATAAAAATGTGAAAATATCCAATATAAAAATATTTAAAATAGTATAAAATTGAATTTTTAAAAATTAATTATTCAAAAATATTTTTTTATCGTACAAGTCTTTTAAAATTGAACTTCTGTTGTTGTTTGATACAAAAAATTGTACCTCTGGAATTTTTCCTAGTTTAATAACTTCTACGAAAATTTTTTTACCATTTAAAGTTTCACTTAGAATTGATTTTATGTCAGATTCTCTCCATCTTGGGTTCGGTTTAATTTTACGCAATTGAACGGGTAATATCCGCAAAGGATAGTTCATGAATTCATTGGGGCATTTTCTGATATTTGAAAATGGAACACAGTCCGTGTTAAAATAGTCAACGTATAATACTTCTGCTTTATTTAATGTGGGGTGTATTTCTTTAATAATGCTGCGATAATACATACCATCTTCATTAAACAGAGCTAAACATGGCTTTTTAGGTTCTATATCAATCATATTACTTCTTGAACTTTTTACAAATGCTTGAATCCGTTTCATCATGTCTATATATTGTTTTTGGAGATCAGCAATAACCGGTGATATAAAGAATTTAGTTAAATTATCAATGTAATACACCTCACAATAAAATTCTTTCAAACCGTAAGGCAACTGATAATACTTAAAATTTTCCATACCATCAAAACGCGGAACAACCTGTAACCAAAAAAAAATTAATATTTTAGTACGTGTTCTTCATTCAACATTTTGATATTCATGTACATATATTATATAAATTAAATACATATGTACATAATGTACTTATATATATTATGAATTTTGAAAATAAAAATTTATATATTTTGAATTGTAATTACATTTTAAAATTTCAGAAAGTTGTTAAATTTTATAAAAAGGTAAAATATTGATTTTAAGTCTTACTGTTGAGGTATCTATTGGATCAAAAGGTTCCATGGAGGAAAGGTCGTTGTCTTTTTCGTCTGATAATAGTGATACGGATTCTTCGGCTTTGTAAGGGTTGGTTATTGGACGATCTTTTTCACTCCAAGATTGAAATGTGCAGTCGAAATCAACCTCATCTGCAGAAAATGATGTTGATTTTGACTTAGATATAACAGATGCACAAAATTTGTTAAGTTCCTCCTTTTGAAATATTTCTTTGTATTCAAAAAAATCTTTTTTATTTATGTTTGAAATTAATTTCTGTTTATTAAGCCATACTTCAGCTTCATCTTCTGAAGAAGAATTTGATTTGGTGTTTGCTATTAAATTGGTACTATTATTACTAGAATATTTTGTGTCGTAATCATCGTACTTTACGATATTGCTGTTAGCTTCCTCAATATTTTCAATACCTTTGTTATTGTCCAAGTATTTTAGAAAAGTGCAAGAATTGTCACTTTCCTTCGTAGAATTTTCAGGTAAATTAGACTGTATTCGCCTAGCTAAATTTTGTTCAATCAAGTATTCGGATAGATCCAATGCATCAATTTTAATTGAACACTGCTTTGTTGATGTTTCCTTTTTGGTAGTTTTGACGGTAACACAACATAGTTTTGTCACAATTAATATATGCATTAAGTCCAAGGTATCTTTTGTCCATTTTCCATCCAAAGCATTTGGTTCAATACCATAAAGCTCATATTTAACTGCTAGTCGTGGAGTTTTTTTGAAGCAAGTTTTCCTTATTATTTCATCTTTGTTACATTCTTCAACATTACCGTAATCAACAAAGCAAACTTGAATTACATCATTGGATACAGAAATTATTTCGGCTCGATAATATAGTGAATCACCATGATATCGGGCGATACAAGCCTCACCAGGTTGAAAATCTGTTATTTCATTGTTTGTATTAATGTGATTTTTAAATTTCTTGTTAAGATATTTTTTTATTTTTTCTAAAAGACTTTCTTTTGTAGCATCATGAAGATAGATGCACCCATTGTAATCTACGTACGTTGGGTATGCGGTGAATAAGGTTTTGTCAATAGAGCATTGTGGCCAAATTTCGCAGCTATCATCATTATCAGAGAAATCGCTATTTTCTAATTCACTCTCACTTTCTGTAACAGTTTCAGTTTGTTTCATTTCATTAGATTCTGAAAATAAAAATTAATTAAAGTTTTGCATTGGCTTAGAAAAATAAAGATTTTTTTTTTATTTCAACCAATAAACAACAAATTTCGTCTAAAATACCTTTTTCAATTTGGAGGTCAACACTTTTCATTATTTGTTCCAAATCTTCTATTTCATTTTGATTGATCACGTCAGTAAGTTTCATAATTTGTTTATCTCGATCAAATCTTTCAACTAACTGAGCAAAGCCTAAACTATGTAAAGTTTTATTAATGTTAACATATTTATATATTGTCGGTGAAAGAGCATCCGATACTTCAGTACAAAAACCCCATAAAATTACGGGAATGGAATTGTTGACGTTTTCCCCTTGAACGGTTGCATAAAGCTTTTCATATTTAGAAATATAGGATTTTAACTGATCTTTGGCAGCTTTCGACCATATACCTGTTCCTCCCGTTGGTTTTACACATGCTAAATGACATTTTGTTGTAGCATTACAAATACGAGCATCACAAGATCGTATTGGAGATAATTGTTCATTACATATATTTTCAATTTTTTTCCCGTGGTCTCTTAGATAAACTGTATAAGAAATATTTCTTTTGTCTGAAGTTTTGCATTCTTTGATATCTATAATATTACCACGATACCATTCTTTCACTGTTGTTTCAGATAAACATAAAAATACTAAGCAATTATCATTAATTTTCCAGTTATATTTTATTTGATATTCTGGATTTTCGCTTAGAATTTGTTCTTGATACTTTTGTAAAAATTTATGAAGTTTAATAATGCCATCGCAAAATTTTTCAAGCTGAATATAGAATTCACCAGGTGATTCTATATGGGTAACAATAATTTCTTCACGTTGAAAATTTGATGAATTTTGATTTAGAGATACTGAACCTCCTGCAGTTAATGATCCTTCTGGGTTTATGGTTGTTTTTATATTTTTTGAAATTTTTTCTTTTAAGTTATCTTTTTCCTTAGAAAATGAGACTAGGGACTTAGTTTTAAATGTTGTAACATCTACTGATTCAGGACCAGTTGATATTGCATGTTTATATTCGACTAATAAAGCATTAACATTCATTTCACGTTGTTTTTGTATTATTTTAAGTGTAACAGAGTGGTTTTTTTGATTAATGGTATGAATTAATATTTTTAAATTTGAATGTTTCATAATCCTTTGAAAATCGACCAAAGCTTCTGAGGTCCAGTACAAGTTATTCGATTGGAATGGTTCAATATCAATTAAACTACACCTAAACGAGTATTCGTTGATAATACAATGAGATTTTTCCAAAAAACTTAATTGTGTGTAACGAACTGTTTCTGATCGCCCTTCATCAACAAGAAAGACATCCACATCGCCTAAAAATTTGAAAATAAAATAAACAAACAAGTATAAATTTTAAAGTTCTAATTGTAGCGTCCTTTATTTTTAGTATCTAAAATTTTTTTGTGTAGTCTGGTGTAGGACAAATAAAACAATGTTCTTTTAACTTTTCACCAACGTTTCGATTTAATTTTAAATCTTCATCAGGGCTAAAAATAATATTTATATGATAATAATGCTTTTACAATATGTCATACATTTCTTATATGTATACTTACATTAAGTTATTGAACAAATTTTAATTTGATTTTAACATAATTAATTAACTCAATAGCTTCCATAAACTAATTTAATAAAATTTTTTAAAATCGTCAATTAATATTTTAATAAATAACATATATATAAATAAATAAATAAAATAAATTAACACAAAATTGTAAATGGGACAAAAAACTAGACTCTTACAAAAACTTAAACTATAATAAAAAAATATCACAAATCAGCTGTTTATTGTTTTCATCTATTGTTCGCTCTACAATTACAATTTTGTGTTAATTTATTTTATTTATTTATTTATATATATGTTATTTATTAAAATATTAATTGACGATTTTAAAAAATTTTATTAAATTAGTTTATGGAAGCTATTGAGTTAATTAATTATGTTAAAATCAAATTAAAATTTGTTCAATAACTTAATGTAAGTATACATATAAGAAATGTATGACATATTGTAAAAGCATTATTATCATATAAATATTATTTTTAGCCCTGATGAAGATTTAAAATTAAATCGAAACGTTGGTGAAAAGTTAAAAGAACATTGTTTTATTTGTCCTACACCAGACTACACAAAAAAATTTTAGATATAAATTTTAATTTTTTTAATATTTACACAAATAAATAATTAAATCATAATTCGTGGTATATGTATAAATAATTCAAAAAGAAATTAAAATATAAATTTTCTGTTCCCTATTAAAGCTTTATTACATTAACAAATAATTTTGATCGATTACATTAAAAAAATATTTATCTTACATTTTTCATGAACATTAATAACTTTGCATCTGTACCAGTTCTCATTAATTTCGACAGCACATTGCATATTTTTTCTAGGGCAGTATATCATCTTAAAATTTTTACTATAATTTTCTTTAAGTTCCAACTTCAAGTTTTCCATTTCTTTTGTAGATTCATGCTAAATATAATAAAGACCTATTTTATTAATTCAATATAGAAATGCATATTTATTTTCTCACTTGAGCAACATAAAATTCTGATGGAGAAATCACATTTAATGGTCTTATTTTTATTTCTGCTAACTCAGTCACATTTATTGGATAAAAGCTTCGATTCAGTGGTGCTATCAGCTCTTTCTATTTATTAAAATATATAATGTGTCATATCATTAATATCATTGTTATATAATATAACAATGATATTTTTGTTACACTTTTAAATTAATTGTACGAGCTTTAATATATGTACATATATTTGTTTCAAAATATAATGATAATTTTATTATTATGTAATTCCAATAGATTCAGTAGACGTTCATAATAACTAACTTTAATTGTTTTTGTAAAACGAAAAATTCAAATTCAGGAAACACTATTTCACTAATAACTATTTAATAGTGAGAATCGGGAAACATAATTAACACTTAAAATATAAATAAAAAATATTATCAATATTGTATTTATTTTGTTACATATTTGACAAATAAGAATAAATTCATTTGTCAGGCTTATTATAATAATTTATGCTAGCATATATGCAACAACAATGAAATAAATTCAAAAAGTTTGAATTTTGTAATTTTTGCAATCAGGATTTTTAGGAATAAACGATGAAAAATATCCATTAGCATGTAAAATCACAGAGCTTTGTATTGTTAGTTAAATATCACAATGTATTAAGAACAAAAGAAAAAGTAGAAAAATTTTTTTTCTAGATGATCACTTATAAGAGCCTGTAATTTTAACAGCTTTTAGACACTACTTTAATTTGTATGTATGTACGTAATATAATATATATGTACGTATCCAAGAAAATAAATCGCTTTCAATTCAGGATCATTTCTTCAAATTTAAAATTTGAAATTTAAAGAGTTAATAAAAGAACTTAAAAATATAATTGGAATATCTATGTATTTACATATGTATATTGAATTCTAAAATACATATGTACATAATTTTGTCAAAAAGGGCCTGAAAGGCTTTATTTTTAATTCACGTCATAACAATGTCTATAAATTATTAATTTAAACATATCTTGAAGATATTTTAAGTTATTTGAAAAATTATTTTTAAAATTTATTATTTAGCATAATAAATATTTTATAATCCATTCTTAATATATATATATATATAAAGAATTCGGTAAATACAAATAAATAGCATAAATACATAATTATATAGCGTATAGTTATGTATAAATTTAAGAAAAAAAAAAAATATCCAAAAATTTATTCCAATAAACAAAATCTGAGCGACATTTATTTGTTAACATATTGATAATAAATAGGTAATCAAACAAATCATCCGAGAACTACTATACTAGTATTTAATAAGATTGATTTAGAGACGGTGTTTGATTTCATATTAAATTGAATTCGGTGTAAGTTTTCAATAGGAATAGTGTTTTTATGACAATTAAGTTTTGTTCTTTTTTTTTTTGTTTGATAATTGATTAGTAAAACTTGTTCAACACGCGAACTTATACATGTATAATTGAATATGTATATATTTACATTATGTATATGTATACTAAGATTTTTATTACTATTTTATTACTATCATCGTTTTATTTTTTGTTGTTGTTTTTTTTTTTAAATCAACAAAATGTTTGTGGTTTAATTTTTATGAATATTTTAAAAATTTAATAATAGAAAATGATGTCGAAACGCGCAACTTCACAGAAAATAATAAAAAAAATAAACAAATTGTGGGTGATTCGACACAAAAAAAAAGTGCTAAATTAAATCTACATTTTCTTTGACTATATTAAAATGTTTGATTAAACAATATTGATAATTGTTGATAATCCATAATGTAAAATTGAATCAAAATATAAGATAATTTTGATTATTCTTTGAAAACAAGTTTTGTTACTTGAAAATTATAGAAATTCATTATCATCTTGTGTGAAATTTCCTTACTGTGATTACGCGTGTTATTATAATTTTTGAACAGCTAATATTTTTTTAATTTATTATCTAATTAGAATTGTATATAGTTTTTAGTTAATTCTTCTAGTAAAGAGTTATGCTAGAATATTAAGTATTATGGATAGAATATTAAGTAGTATGTATGCCCATTAACAAATTTTTAAAACAAAATTTACTTTTAGGAAACATAAATTCGATTTACCATCTTGTAATTATTATAATATCTCACGGTATTCGCTAATTCCTTGTTATCAATATAAATTTCTTCAGCTATATCTGTAAATATTAAGGCATTTCTAAATGAAGTAGGATAATTATCTTTTGAGATAAGATCCACATAAAGAACATCTTTGTCTTTTTTGAGAATAGCAACAAAAATAAGTTTTCTAGAAAAAAAAACAAGAAATATTCAATAAAAAAGGAGAGAAAAATTTTTTTTTTTGTTTTTGAGAATACTTTAGTAACAAATTCTTAGCCAGGACTTTAGCTTCATCACTCCACTCTTTTTCAGATTCTTTTTGTTTGATCCCGAATATTGAACATTTTTCAGCTCCTGCTTCCTTCGATTGTAATGCTTTTGACATGACAATTATTCTAAAAATATATAATTTTTATGTTACAGAAATTATTAAATATTTATATATATTTATATTTATATTTATTTGTCGATCGCTAATTTGTTTCTGAAAATTTCACATTAATACTATTAAATTTCATTGTTGTAGAAGAATGATAATCAAGAAACCGAGACTATTGGACGATCATTACATGATTTAATGATATGAAATGGTGGCGCTTATTACAAGCAAATATGATTCAAGTTTTATGAAATTTGTAGATAAAGTACCTAATTACATATATTATGTTGCTATAATTAGGATAACTTTATCAATAAGACGAAAATATAGATGTATATTTAAGGTATTAAATTTAAATAAACGATACTAATCTTAAAATAAGTCTGTATGACCCTAAAAAAAGTTTCGCTTTCGAGCTTATACAAAATGTTTCGGAAATTGATCAAAGAAACATCCTTGAAATTATTGCCCCATATATGAGTATTAACCCGAAGCCTTAAGAGCTATATTTATGTATTTAAATTTAAAATTAAAAAGTCTTGACAGAGAAAGCGAAAGCATTAATTTTTATAAATGAACGTATTTGTAAAAAAAATACAAAAAACTTAACGTTAGTTAGAAACCTAACGTTAAGTTGGGCGCCAATCTTTCCTTATAAATATCTTGAATCTCAAATAACATGATATAAAAATTAAATAAAATTAAATAAAATTACAAAAACTAAAAAATGACATTGACTTACTGCTGTTTAGTTGCAAAAACGGTTTCTCCGGTATCGATAAGTAGTACACGATAAGTTTGTGATTTGACTTCTTCTAAAATTTTTCCACGTTCCCAAACATTTGATTTTGTTTTAATTAAATATAAATGATTTATATTAATTTTATTGGGAGTTTCGGCAATTTTTGCATCCTTTGTACATTCAGCATTCAAAAGATTTTCAGTTAAAGAATATGAATCAAATTGAACATAAAAATGTAATGGATCATTAAAATGTGATACTTTCGCTTTTTGAATTTTTATTCGAGATTCTTTATTATTAGATTTTTGTGGTATTGACAATTTTGTATTATCGGTGACCATATCTAATATTTTTTCATCAGGAAAATCATATTTTTGATTAAATTTTTGACCTCGTCTAATTATACTTGACATTAATGGATTTTCAGTCTCATCTAAAAGTGTTTCATTCTTTTTGAATTCAAAATTTTTTGATGCCATTTGCATAAATTTATTTGATTCTTCAGTTTCTTTTATTACTTTATAAGGGCAAAATTCTTTAAGTAATTTTTCCAAATCTTCATTTTCTATTATCCTAAAATTTTTTTTTGTAAAATTAATTTTAATATTCTGTTTTGTTTTTTAAATAAATAAAATATACTCAAATGGATTTTTCGCAAGTTTTGGAAATAATGGTGGTGTTGCCACACATTCTAAATATTTTTTTGTTGAATCGGCCAACTTTTTTAAATGAACTTTTTTTGCTTCCATAACTGAACTTTGCAATGACAGAATCATACTCTGAAAATAAGAAATTAATTATACTTAAGCTGACTTTTTTTAAGTATACAATAAACAATTAATATATACATATGTACATATATATATGTAGCTACCTCAAAATTTTTTATATTATTAGTTATTTGGTTTTCTATTGAGCTAATATTATTCTTGAATTTAATGTCATCCTGTTTTATATATAGTAATGTATTTCGTTCAGAAGTTTGCAATATATTATGCAACTTGCTAAAATATTGTGAGATTTTAGAAACAGTTTTCATACAATATTCTTCATGTTTTTGAATAAGTTCGTTTTTTTCCTAAAATGAAAATAAAAACAAAAAATAAATTAGTTTTCCTTTTTTTATAGAAAATTTAAACTATGACACAAAAAAGAATGGATTTCGTTGACTTTCCAAAATTTTTAATAAAATGTGTTCGAAAAATAATTTGAAGTTATCATGAAAATTGTTAATTTCACTATAATTTCACATAAATGCGCTACTGTTTTAAATTATTTGACAGTTGCGACTTCACTTTTATTTACAAATATTTTAGTGAGATTTTGTTATGACACAAAGAGAATTTTGTTGTACCGACTAACGAAAACGCAGTTCCACCGACCTTAAGCTGTGAAACAACATTCCCAAAACAAATTCATGAACAAAAACATATTAACACACTTGCCTTAAGAGCACGCCTTTGCTCGAACATGATTTCAAGATGTTACTTGTGAGATTAACCCACCTCAGAATATTGATGAAGTTTTTAATTGCATGTTAAAATTTTTTTGGCCTTAATTTTCGTATTTTGCTTAGACGTAGTTTTTATTTGAATTTATATAATTAAATATCTGATTGTAGTTTTTAACTCAACAAATTCTTAAAATACTTTAAATTTCACTCAATTTATTCCTAAAATATCATATTTTTCGTGCTTTCTTAATTTTATCACATCGTATAAATTTTTCGATTAAATTACACTATTATTATTTAAATTTATGATTATCTTATTTAATCGAATACGATTACCTAATTCTCGATTTTTTGCAGAATCGAAAACGGAAAAAAAAAAAGAAATGGTACTCAGATAACATTTGATAAGGTTTTTTTTTTATAAACCAATTTATTTTGTTTTTTCTTTGAGTTTAGGAAAAGACACTTCCAATTCCAATAATTATATAATTCATAACTTAATCGAACCCCCAATTGATTTTTGAAAATTGAAATTAACATGTTTGGATATACATTCATATTTTATTATAATAAGGAGCGGCTTTATTAATATTTAAAGTATTTTTAATTAAATTATGCACTTAAATTACAGAGAAATTTTTTAAATATAAATTTGAAAATTTTATATTTATTTTTTAATACGCAATAAAAAAGAGTTTATTAAATAATAATAAAAGAGAATTTCATACAGAAAATTGGTGTTAAATTAATAGCACTTGTTGTACAACTTGCATAATTTGCATGACAATTTAATTATTAAAATAAACAAAAGTATTAAGGTGTAAATTGTTAAAAATTAAAAAAAAAATGTGGTCTAATAATTTACTAATTATTCTGTAATTTAAATACTTCATGGCACAGAATCTAAACGAGCTTAACATTGAACTAAAATTTTTTTATTTTATAATCATAGTAAGGGACTTTTAATAATTCATGGAGTGAAATTCATAAATTAAATTTTTTCACACAATATACTAACAAATCTGCAGAAACTGAAGATTTTACTTCTGCAGATTTGTAACATTCTGCAGTCGATTCCCATCATTTTCATTATGCTGTAGTTATAAAAAGAAACTTAAGAATTTCTTTAGAACTTTAAGTACTACTATAATTTTCAAATATGCCATTTTTGCAGATATTAACAAAGCGCATTCGATCCAAATTGAATTATCGAAAATCTTCTAAATCAGAATTAAATGTCAAGAACTTAAAATTTTTAAACTTCATATTAGATTCAAATTAATTTTTTTTAAAAGAAGTTTTTTTATGTCATCGAATTTCATTCAAGTAATAATTAGTATAAAAAAACTCAATTTTTAATTTAAGTATTGAATAAACATTCAATACGTAAATTAAAAATTGTCATACTGACATTTACATATAAGTAAATGACATTTTAGTATGAATACATTGCCTTTGCATATTGCCACCAAAATTCGACAATTGATTTTCAACAACTTTTATGGTAGATATGATCCGATTTATTTTCCAAATGTGTATATGAGTACCGACATTTAATTTTTTGATTAGTTGAATATCTACCAATTAAACTTAGACTAACATGATTTGCGATACGAAATTCAGTATTGTTATAATTTTAAATTACAAAATAGTTTGCTTTACGTAAAAACTCTAAAAACATATTGTTATTTTTTTAATAAGTCTAACAAAATTAAGTATGTATGTAAAAAATAAGTATTGGCAGGAATTTAAAAAATTAAAAAATCTAATCCAATAATATACAACTGAATTTGATTGGTGTTGATTATATTTTATGGAAATTTTAAATTTAAAAAATCAAAATACATTTAATAAATTTTGTTAATTACTCTTTAACACATGATTATATAATTATATACGCACATGCATACATAAATAATATACATATGTATAATGTTATATGTAATTTCATTCTAATTCTAATAGCTATAATCTCCTTCGATTAACAAAACAACCCACATCAAAAAAAAAATTTTGTAAGGTAAATTTTATATAACAAAAAAAATTAATTGGAATTTATTCGAAATTTTTCAAAAAAGATTTAAAATAATTTTAATTATTCATATATGTATGTATATGTATGTATATACATCTGTACATATATAATATATATATGTATATTATATATGAACACATAAAAATGTTAAAAAACATTGCCATGACAAATCAATTTTTTTTTTTCTTTCTAAACGGTTAGTTAGGTCTCCTCTCAAAAATTTAAATTTAATTAAATATTCATTTCTTCTTTTTCAATTTTGTGTAGAGAATTGATGACAAAATTAATTTAAAAATAGAATTATTTCATTTCTCCTTTAACTGCATTGTTCGATACTGAATAAAAAATGAGATAAAGAAAAGAGATATGTAGTTGATTAAGTGTTATATTAGGGCATATTGTATTTTTTTTTTAAGGGATCTGTTCAAAATTTCAATGGTATGTAATGGAAAAGGTGTCTATCAAAATTTTATTATTATAAGAAATTTAATTGCATTCAAAATTCATATAAAAGTAATTTTTATTTTTAAAATTTAGTCAGGTTTTTATTCTATATATAAGGCACGGGCTTTTTTTTAAATTAAAATTGATTTAAAGCTTAAATCAGCTGTTTCAGGTATGGATATTCAGTATGGACTGTTAGGTATGGAGTCTGTATAATTCTTTTCCTTTTGCTATTTATTAAAATTACAAGCCCGAATTAGGAATGGATAAGTATTTACTTACATTTTTTATGAGCTTTTAAACTATAAGAAATTATTGCTCAATATTTTCAGCTAATTTTTTCGGTGGAGCTATTTGAATTTGATGTCAATTTCTTTCTGATTCGCTAAATTTATGTCTGATTTCTTCAAAATATTAAAAAAAACGCAACCAAACAAAGATAATTTTAAGGAACAAAAATTCTGTTTCTCACTAAACTCAATCATTTTACGAAGATAACGAATAATTATTACACAATAAGTTTTAAAAAATATTTGTTCGAAAACAAATGCTTCCAAGGAAGCTATGATTTTTTAAAAATTTTATGTATAACACTTTCAAGATACAATTAGCTTAACACTTTAATACAATTATATGAATATTTTCAAAATACATTATAAACGTACAATGATATTTATTCACAAACATTAAAATGTTATTGATTGAAATTCAAAATAATCAAAACGAAAAACAAAAAAAAAAACAAGAAAAAAATTTTTGTTTTTTTTTAACAAAAATCTATTTAGCAAAAGAATCTTCATCAGGCTGAAAATCAGGATTACACATATTGAAACCAATCAATTCATTGTAATCACAATCACTAATTATATGCTTCATTTATATAAATTTTAAATTTACGCAGTCCTATATAGTGTTATACAATATATGAATTCAGTATTTTATATTATTAATAGTGTTATACAATGTGTATGTATGCATATATCTATGTATGGATGTACACAAATACTATTTTAAGTACATATATTTATTCGTTGTTCTCGTATATACAAGATGCTATGTGTGTACCTGTTGATAACGAATCAAATCAGTAAAGTTAACACGCTAAATAAAAAAAAATAATACAAAAAAGAAATAAAAAGATTATTGTTAACGAAAAAACAAGAAAATAATTTTTTTTTTGAATCATCAGCGCTTTTGTTGTTGCATTCTATAAAAATTTACAAAATAATAAAAAAAAATTTCTTTTATAATTTCATGTAAAATAACTTTTAATAGTACAATACATTTGATGAGAGCCATGAAAATTTTTTACCAGTTCTTGTAGCCTGATAAAATTTAAGATTGAATATGGTTTAAAAAATTATGCAGCGATATGTATGGAAGGATTTTATGCATACACAATTGCTTTTGCTTCATAATACATATAACATTTGTCTTGGAAATAAAAATAAAATCATAGTGTAAGCTTCGAAGTATGCAATTTTTACATACCGCTAATGTAATAAACCAATGTAACAAGCACGCTAAATAAAAAATTTCTGTAATCTAAATAGAAAACTTTAGCTTTCGGTAAGTAAAAATACCGAGTGAGAAGAAAATTACTTTGCTTTTGAAGGTGACAAATTCAGCCAATATTATGAGAAAAAATGAGAAAATTTAGTTGAAAAAAATTAGTAATTATATTGGAAAACTGACATATTCAATTAAAAAAGCGAGAATATCGATTAGAAAATTAATAAAAAAGAGGATTGAAAAGAAGAGAATCAGGCTGTATATTTTTAACATAAAATAATAATTCGGTTCGGATTGTATTCTCAATGGGCTCTCTCGATGAAATACAAAAGCAATCCAATCTTCTAATAATTTTTAAACACAATTTATATTTATTTCGGAAATATATACAAAAAGATGTAGTAAAAATGCAGATGAAAAAAGTAGTAAAATTTAATGTTATTATTCCTTACGTCGTAAGATCTATGTGATCAAATAGTCCAGTACAGATGCATTAAATTGTAGTAATGATTTGGTTAAGTAAGTGCAAGTTATAGTATTCAAAAATTCATTTTTTTTAAACATGATGGATAATGAATTTCTTAGAATTGAGTTTACCTAAGATAATTTTTGAAATAGAATTCAAAGTTTTCTTATAGACTATGTCATGTAGTTTAGATAGTACCTATTCCAAATGTACTTTTGTCCGCTCGTACATTAATTTTTACAATGGAAATTTAAAAATTCTGAAATAAGATTTTGTGAGCTTAATGCTTTTATGAAATAATTCTTAATAAATTGCATTTATTAAGTATACTACCTTTTGCATATTATAAATTGTTATATTTTAAATGTATTCAATTAATTTTTAAATACTATTTTATTATACACATACTTACATAAATACATATGTATGTGCTTATATAACTTCAATATTTTATAAGAAGCATTAAAAAAAAAAGTATTTATTATTATTATTATAATATTGAATTGGTGGTTAAGAAACACCTTAAACTATAGCTAAATGAAATTCATAACAACAACAACAG